CCACTACTGCTAAATGTGGAATTGCAGTCTCCTTCCTTCCCTGCAAAATCACCCTACATCTTTCTTAAGACCTGTTGATATTTGTCAGAGCGATAAACTGAAGAAAATAATTGCTGTATTCACCCTGCTTTGGGTCATACAGATATTTGAAGGTGGTATAACCTCTATTCCTACCTTATAAATATGCCCAAATGCTTGTGTTTTATGAATCTACTAGTCAGGAGGCACTCCATGAGTCTAAAATGTTCCAGACTCTATTGAACAAGATACAGAAGAAGGAGAAAAAATGGTCTTGGCCTGCAAGATGTTTAGCGTTAGTCGGGAAGACAAGACTGATGAAGATACTGGAAAATAAGTGCTAACCTGTAAAATACTGACTGTGAGGGTTCGGGATGGGAGAGGGGGTGAGACACTGGAGCACCTGAGGTTGAAATGTGAGGTGGGCCTTGAAGAAAGGATCCAGTAGAATTTGGGTAGGTACAGGGGAAGGAGACAGGGTAGGTACAGGTAACTGCATGAACATAGGGGGCCCTAAATTGAAAAGAAAAACAATGACACCATGGCCATTGTTTCTCTTAATTTTTTAAGAGCTTATCCTAGCAGCTCAGGTTCAGGGTGCCACTCAGTAGATCATTGGTTCTAGTTTGGCGAGGTCATGTCTTCCTGGATATTCTTGATGCTTGTGGATGTTTGTCCATGTCTGGGCATTGCCGAGTTAGGTATTTAATCTTCACAGTCTGGGCTTGTTTGAACCCGTCGTTCTTGGGAAGGCTTGCGAGATAGTCAAAGGGAATTGAGTATTGTGGTCTAAGTCCTTGATCACTGCTGTTATATCAGCACGGGGGCAAGGGGTGTGCCCCAAGCCCAGTAGTGCTGTGACTCTTGCAGACTGCTGGTGGTACTGCTTTGGTGAGCTTGGGTAAGAGACAAGAGAATTCTCTGGAATACCAGGCAAAGTTTCTTACTCTCTTCCCTCACCTCTCTGTGCTGGGCTGCTGGAGTTGGGGGAGGTGTGACATGGGCACTCCCTTGTGGCCACCAGCACCAGGTCACAATCAAAGGCAGCCCAGTCTCACCGAACACCAGTGGTGACTGTTGTCTGACTACTTCTGATGTTTATTCAAAGCCCAAAAGCTCGTTAGTCAGCAGGTTAGGACAGGGTACTTCCCTTCAAGGTAACATGCTTCCTTCTAGGCTAGGGTGGGTCCAAACATGCCATCCAAGAACTATAAAGCCTGGTTTCAGGGGCCTCAGGAGTCTGCTTAGTACTTTATTTTACCGTGGCCGAACTGGTACCCAAGTTGCAAAACAAAGTCCTTTGAGTTCTTCCCTCTCCTTTGCCCAAGTGGAAGAAGCCTCTCCCTGAGTTGTGCGGCCTGGAGTTGGGGGAGGGGTGACACAGACGCTGGCTTGGCCGCAGCTGCTGGGGTTTCACTGGGTCACGTGCACCCCAGGTCCACTAGCTCCAAGCCAGCACAGCCACAGGAACTGCCCAAGGACTGCAGCCCTTGTGGCCTGCCTTATGAATTTATTCCAGGCCCCAGGTTGCTCTTTTTCTGCTGGTGTAGAGCTAGCTGGCTTTGGGATGGAGGTTTTCCCCCTGGCCAGGCTGGTCAAAATGCTCTCTCCATGGGCACAGGCAGAATTCTGTGCCAAGGGAGCCCTGAGTTTCAATTCTAAGCCCACAGTCCCTTCACTCTTTCTGCCTTGGGCACATAGACTCTCTGTCCACTGCCAGACGTATAGGAGGGGTGTCATAGGCAATGCAAGACCGTCTTTTCTCCCCTCTTCAATGACTCTTTCCTTGATATAATGTTAAAAACAGGTGCTGTAATTGCTCATCTAATATTTGGTTCTTCTGAAGGTGCTTACTTGCGTGGATAATTGTTGAATTAGGCGTTTGTGTGGAGGGACAATTGCGGGAGGTTTCTATTTGTTCTTGCTCCCATTAGCTCAGTGGTTCTCAGCTCAGCTCCCATTAGAATCATCTGGGCATCCTTGACAAATGCCAGGTTCCACCTGCAGAACTTCTGATTAAATTGGTATGGAGCACACCCTCTGGGCATGGGGTTTCATACAGCACCCCTGGTGATGTGAATGTTCATACTTAACAGAACCACCGAACAGGACACTCCACGGTGAGAGCCCACATTTCCCAGCTGAAGCTTCCCAATAGGTGCTATATCATGATAGTTACAGGTGGCCTGAGCAAGGCCTGTGGAGCCTGGATGAAGTTTTTTCTAGAATACACACATGCATGCACATGTATTTGTATAGGTATGTACATAATGCTTATGCACAAAGTAAAACTTAAATAAAAGGTAAATTTTAGCTTAAAGTAAATTAAAGTAACAATTGTTGAATTTTTAAAAGGGAAGCAGTGTTGGATGCTAAAGCTGAATGTATCTTGTTGCAAAATTGTGCTTTAGAAGGAAGACTTGCAACCATAGTAGTCATGCAAATGCATGAGAATAGATTTAAAAATTAGGAGGTACATTAGTTAAAATCTTGATAGGATCACAGGATTTTTTTAAATTTTAAAGCTATTTTCAAAGTGGGATTAAGTATATTGAGAATGAAGGATTTTAAACACTCAAATGCTAATTGTTGCCCGGGGTCAAAGCTCTCAGGCTTTGCCCTGCACCAGTTGGACCTGCCCTGAATGTAGAGGTCAGAGGAGCCTGGGAAAGGTGGTTGCCTGTGACAGAGCAGAGCAGGGAGGATGGGGATGGATCTCAGAGCACATAGCCGCGAGTGACCTGCACTCTGCCGCTGTCACATGAGAGAGGGCACGCCGGAGCAGGAGCTTCTCACACTGAGCAGCAACCAGGGGTAAGCTCAGCAGTGTGTGCCTGTCCTCTAGAAACACTCCTGCTCTCTGCACCTCGGTCCCTGCCTTCCAAGATGCCACCACCCATCCCTCCAAGTGTATCATTCAAGGCCCAATTTGCCGTCTCTGCCATGAAGCCTTTTAATTATCAAAGTGGGCGAGCTCTCTCTTGCCACTGCTTCTCTTAAATCACCTAGGCTTTCATGGTCTTGGTTACCTATGTACCCATCTTATTTCTGTTATTAAATTATCACAGTTAGAGCCCAGTCTTTCCTAATTAATAAGAAAGGAATTGTTTCTTATTAATTATGTTAATACTTAGTACTCCCACATTTGGTATTGATAGTTAATAATATTAACAGTTCATTTTTCCCCCCCATTTTAAAGATCTTGTCCATTTCCCTCAGGTATTTCTCATGATAATCTCAATCACCCAGAAGTAAATTTGTAAAGAGGAAAGTGTGGATCAGAAAGTTTCTAGAGTTAGTACAAATCACGTGTTCTGGGTACTAGAGTCTGGGGTACCAGTGAATGCAACATGCCAATCATTTGCTCTGATGAAGATTTCATAATGCTCAAATATTATCTGCATATCACATTTATGAAACCAAACAATTCTGAAGGAGAAGATCTAATGCTCTGGTTAAGCGCATGGCATTTCCTTGCTCTAAGTATGTGATCTTTCATCTCAATGTCTCCTCCCTCCTGTCCCCAGAAGATCTGTCCCCAGAGAAAGTATTGCTGATTCTATTAATTAGCACATTGTGGGCACTTACAAAACAGTAATCCTATTTTTATACTTTTTTTTTTATGCCAGTCATCATTTATTCTACCCTTTTAAGCAGGGAAAAGCAACAAATGTTTCTATTTTCTCAAAGTTTCTGCGACACCAGTTTCTAATGGAAGCATTGATCAGGGTTGCCATGGAAGCTGCTTTGAAATTGCTGAAAGCCAGGCCGCAGCAGCACTTCTCTGCTGGCAGGGTTTCTCTCTGGGCCAATAGGGTTAATCCCCACTGGCAGAGTTGAATTTAGTTTTTCAAGACTTTTATAACCAGAAGCTATTAGATAGTACTGCCATCCATACCCTCCGATTATAATCTGAAATTGGAATCCAGACCTTTTAATCCTGCTGTTGAGATTGGCTCACTGAAATATTCCATGTGGGCTAAGCCTCATTTGAGCTCAGTGACCTAGAATTTAGATGTTGTAGCAAATAAGTGCCATAGAACACTTGATCGGCTGGATAGGAATCCTAGACTTACAGAGGTGAAAGAAGCTTTAGTGATCATATAGACCAGATGAGTAAATTGAGGCCAATGAATTTGAGTGACTTTATTGTCCCATAGCTTTGGAATGCCAGAGTTGAGACCAAAGACTCATGGCTTTTAGTTCACACTTTTATCTATTTTTTATTACTGCTAGTAGTCCTAAAATTTGAACGTGTGTCAGAGTTACCTTGGGGGTGGGGGAACATGGTGGGCTCTAGACCTGAGTAGGATCCTGAAATTTTGCATTTCTAACAAGTTCCCAAGGGATGCCTGACCCTGCTAGCCTGGGGGTCATGCTCTGAGAACCACTGCAGGACACTGTTGGGAAGCAAAAGTGAGCTTATCATATAATAAGGTAAAGGACACAGCTGCTTTCCTAAGAGTATACATCATAACCTGAGAAAAAGGTATGGTTATGCCAGTATATAGGTGTGCCTTCACGTTAGGAAACTCAAAAAATTCAAATTGAAATCTAAAGATTTACGTTACCTAAAAAAATATCACTTCCATTTGCTGGGAAGATTGCAATAAACAAGATAAAGTCTCTGCCCTCAAGGAATGCACAGTCTGAGGGGGCAAATACCTCTTTAGTGTGATGTGAAGTACATCCAAGAAAATAAGGAAATGGCCACTCTGCAAAGGTGTCCCTGAGAAGATGCCTAAGTGGATGAGGGCTGAGCTGGGTGCTTCTGGAGGAGTAGCTCTCCTGGTGAAGGGAACAGTGAGGCAAAGTCCCTGAGGCAGGAGGGTGCTTGATATAAAAAAAGGTCAGGGGCCCAGTGAACCGGGAGAGTGCTGGAAGGTAGCCACCGAGGGAGCCGGGACGCCACAGGGAGAGCCTTGTAAGCGACAGGAAGGACTTGGTATTAAATCTTAATTCTTCTAAATGTTTAATGTTCCTGATTTTTAAAAATATATTTTTATTTTCAGAAAGATGTCTTATAAAAGGAGTACAATAAAAATGTAAGCGATTTTAGGTGGTCAGGATGGTGAGGCTCCCACGGGATTATGGGAAAGTTGTTTTGTGCCACGAAGTGTTCCTGAGTCTCTTACTGACCACGCTCACTCCTTTCTTGGAAAAAGAGGGCTTTTAAAAGGAAGGATGGAAGATGTGGGTGTATTAGGGAGAAATTGCTCTTCCAGGCAGGGCAGTGAGTTCAAGTCCTGGTTTTGACACATTTCCTAACTTCTCTGAGCCTTGGTGTCTCTGTCAAATGAGGATGTTAGACCAGTTATCCTTCTGGAACCTTCTTACTTTCTGGGCTTCTGAGATGTGGCAAATTCTGGTAGGCTTTGGTTTATAGTCATTTCTTTGTGTGAGCGTGGGTGGCTTGTTTGATTGGGGGGAGTACAAATCGGTTGCAGAAGCAACGGAAGGAATTGAAGACCTCATCGTGGTAGCAGCTGTGTTGGTCTCAGGAGCCCTGGTGGTGAAGGAGACAAGAAAGAGTTTGGTTTGGGAGAATTTTTCTGCGAATGAACATGCCTGAAAAATTGAGGTCTTCTAAAAGTAGCCTGTGAGTCTGTATTTCCTTTAATATATGTTCAGCTGGTAATCAGAAAACCAGAATTGTGTTTGTTATTATTCTGAAAGATAGAAGGAACTTTCCAGGCCGTAACTCGTGGGCACTTTTTAATAGCAACAGTTCAAGTCCACTTCGGGTTAAGAGCCTTGAGAAATATCCCAGCCTTGTCCCAAGGTATTTATTTTGGGAAGGTTTGCACAGCTTACTGAGTGGTTTGGTAGGAAGTCTGTTTGCCTCAGTGCTTGGATTATATCTCTGTCTATTTGAGAGCACTGGCAACCCTCATCTGCCCCACTGAGAAGCCTGTGTTTGCTTTTTGCCAAATACTTCCAGTTTTTAGTTTAAACTTTGTTTTTTAAAGAGCAGTGCAACCAGTAAGTTATATTATATAGTGAGTCACAGTGTGCAGAGTGATTTATTACAAAGGGTGCCATTTCTGAGCATAATGGTGAAGAACCAGCTTGGAGACAGAATACTTAGGTTAGAATCTGGTCAGACTCCACTAGTTCTTGTAATAGGTTCTGGGATTTATGGTAAACTTTTGTGCCTCAGTTTCCTCCACTGTAAAATGGGGGCGATAGCAGTTTATCCCAGCCTCCCATAGGCTTATTGTGAGGATGTAATGAGTTAAAATTTAAGGCATTCCCAGTACACTGTGTTAAGATAGATAAGCTACTGTTGTTGTTGATGTTGTTATTTAATTATCTTAAACATAGCTTAGAAGTGAGGGAACTGAAGTTACTTAGGGCAACAAGGCAGCCAAGCAGCCCTGGTCCCTGGGCCTCCTGAGCTGCCCTATAGCTTCTCAGTGTGCCACCAACTGTGTTCCTGTTCTGCTTCTGCCATCCTGCATCCCTGCTGCCACTCAGCTGCTGTTTGAGCTACTAGGGACATCAGTGAGTTGACTTCCTCTTTAAGGGACAGAAAATGAGAGAGAGAGAAAGCTGCAAAACTCCTAAGCACTGAAGCCTCAGGATCTTTCCAGGTGAAAAAAGCAGGGGCATTCCAAATATCAATAAGCAGCAAAGGGATCAAAGTCATTTTATGTAAATCTTCAGGCTGCTTATTTGTGCCTTTTAGTTGCATAGCTGTTAAAGGGCCCCAGCTGTTTTATAAGCAAAGCTAAACATTGCCCATGATAATGAAATGTAAAACAGCATAGATTCCTTTTTTGTGGAACATATCCACAAGATTGTTTTTTGTGGCTAAGGAGATTATGTTTTCAAAAGAGCTTTGAAACAATGAGTGCCTGGCAAAAAAACAAAACAAAACAAAAAAAAACCCAATGGTGTGAGGTCTTAGTGCTTCTCAAACTTTAATCAGCTGGGGGGCTGGTAAGTGCAGCTTTAGATTTAGCAGGTCTGGGCTAGGAGCCTGAGAACCTGCATTTCTATCATGCTCCTTCTCCTCTTCCTCCTTCCTCTGCCCTCCTCCTCCTCCCTCCTCCTCCTCAGATCATTCTTCTAGTTGTCAAACCTTAGGTTACTGAAGTGCCATCACTTCAGGTACATTGGAATATGGACAGCCACCCCGCTGTCCCTGTCACTGGGCCTGGAGTTAATGAGTAGACAAAAAGGTTTTTATTTACTTCCCCTGAATTCTTTGACTATCTAAATGAAGAGATCAACAAATAAGCAAACAAAATTTCCCATAAAATATATTGCTATATAGACTTGTGAATGATTTTTTGTGTGTTTAACAGGAAAGGCCACACTTTTTAATTAGAAGTAAAAGCTTCCAGTGGAGACAAAGCTGAAGGATGTTCCTCATTTGTTTTGCATTGACTCTTTTATATTCCTTTAAGGGGCAAGTTCAGGTGATAATTAACTGAAATAACTACCTCAGAGGGCTCATTAAGACAGACTTAAATGCTTTGCCTCTGGACATTTTAGGTTGTAATTAAAATTCTCATCTCTTAAATTAAAATTTGCCAGGCAATAACAAGTCTTGGCTAGGATGTAGAGAAATTGGAGCCCTCATGAGTTGTTGATGGAGTTATAAAATGGCACCATTTATGGCAGCAGTTTTAGAAAACAGTTTATGACTCTAACAATTCCAGTCCTAGGTATATACCCACTAGAATTGAAAACATATGTTCACACAACCGATTGTACACAAATGTTTTAGCTGCAATAATAACCAAATGCAGAAACAATCCAAATATCCATTGGTCAATGAATAGATAAAATATGGTATATCCATACCGTGTTATATTATCAAGGAAGGTGTAAAGTACTCTTACTTTCTGCAACATGGATGAGCCTTGAAAACATGCTATTGATGATTGAAGGCAGAAACAAAGGACTATATATTGTATAATCCCATCTTTAGGAAATGTCCAGAATAGGCTAATTCATAGAGACAGAAAGTGGATTAGTGATCGCCAGGGACTTGAGGAGACAGGGAAATGAGGAGTGGCTGCTAATGGATACAGAGATTGTTTTTTTAGGGTGATGAAAATGTTCTGGAGTTAGATAATGAGGTTGGTTGCCAGTTTTATGAGTATACTAAAACCAAAATTGTACATTTTAAAATGGTGATTTTCATGGTGTGTGGATTGTAACTCAGATTAAATTCTGATCACTTGGGTATTTTAAAAAAAGATTTTTGTTTAATTTATTTTTATAGAATTATATTTTAGCAGTATACTTTGATTTTGATGGTTTATCAGAGAGTTTCTCAACCTGGGCACTACTGATATTTTGGACTGGATAGGTAATTCTTTGTTGTAGGGAGTTGACTTGTGCATTGTAAGATGGTTAGCAGTGTTAGAAGAAAAACTTAGGATAAATTAAATTTAGCAGAGTTTAGGTGAGCAAAGAACAATTCTCAAATCAGGAAGTTCTCCCACCAGAATAGGTTCACAGCAACTCTGCTTGGTTTGAGAGGATTTATGGACAGAAAAAGGAAAGTGATAAACAGCAAACAGAAGTGGGATACAGAAACAGATGGATTGGTTACAGCTCAGCATTTGGACAGTTGGCTGCCTGGGATTGGCTGAAACTCTCTGCTTGGTACAGGGGGAGGTTATAGTCTGTTTACATGCAGTTAGGTTACAGTTCACTGTGTATGGAGAAACCTTTAGGCCAGACTTCCAGTAGAATTCTCCTCCTTCCTGTGCCTCCCCATGTCCCCCCAAAATAAAATGTCTCCAGACATTACCAGAAGTCAGAGTGGGGGGTGGTACAAAATCACTTCCAGATGAAACTACTGGCTTTCTTTCATCTTCCTAGTAAACGCTGAGCTTTATAAAGGTAGGGACTTTGTTTTATTCACACTGTTTCTCAGGGCGTAGAACAGTGTCTCATACAATAGATACCCTAGTACCATAGTAAATATGTGAATGAATGAATATAATTAGCTATAGAAGTAGCAGTACTTACAAAAATATACAGCTGTAGAAATACCAATACTATCCCATACTTGAGTTAGTTCCAGTGCCTTAGAATTGTCAGGAATACTGTCTAAGTTTAAAGGGTGTGTGTGTATTGGGGGTAAGTTTTAATCAACCTGTTGCCTTGCCCTCTGCCCCATCCCAGCCTGCAAACTCCTTATTCAGAGAGAGTGGCCAGCTATCCAGGACATAGGTCAACAGAGGGCACCAACCATGCTCTGAATTAGTCATGTGCTCACATGGGGCCCCATGTGGTTCCTAAGCCTGAGGTGACCCCACAGATGCTGCCTGCTATCTGGACAGGGTGGCCCCAGCCTGGAATGCCACCACTGAGGGTGCCTACATTCATTAATCACTGTGTGAGAAAGGAAACCTACTCCCTGTCATCTACAAATCCAGGCTCGGTCACTGACTAGTTGTGTTTTTCTACCCAACAAAACCTAACTTTCCACTTGAGTATCTTATTAAAAGTTGGCTCTGCTTCCGGTTCACATTCAGAGGCTAAATGTTAATGGCTTGCTGCTGCCAAAGCCTGCCTTGGGGATTATCGCATGCACGAAAGGTGCCAGAATGTTAGCTGAAGTGAGAGCTTTAGACAAGGCTGATCTTGGATGGGTTTTTGTAGCCTGTTACTTGTCTACAGCTTTGTTCCCATTCAGTGATAATGCACATAGCTTTTACCCCATCCTCTCCCCCCCTTTCATTTTCTTAGCAGTGGGAGTTCTGATTTAACTTCTGCTACTCTGTTCTTTGTGAACCTCAAGACAATTCTTTTATTAAGCAGCATGTCACAGATTCTGTGCCTTGTGTCAAGGAGGCTATAATAGTTGATGGCTTTGTATGTTTCTTTGTTGTTTTTTTGTTTTTGAGACAGAGTCTCATGCTGTTTCCCAGGCTAGAGTGCAGTAGCATCATCCTAGCTCACTGCAACCTCAAACTTCAGGGCTCAAGCAATTCTCCTGCCTCAGCTTCCTGAGTAGCTGGGACTTCAGGCACATGCCACCATACCTGCAAATGTTTCTATGTTCTGTAGAGATGGAGGTCTGGTTCTCACTCTTGCTTACGCTGGTCTCCAACTCCTGACCTCCCACCTTGGCATCCTGGAGTGCTAGGATCACAGGCATGAGTCACAGTGCCTAGCCTGATAGCAATTTTTGAGTGTTTACTGTATACTTCACATTTTGCTAAGTGCTTTTACATATAATTCATTTATTCCTTCACAGCCCATTTTACTGATATGGAAACTGAGATACAGAGACAAAGAAGTGGTAAAGTGCAGATTCAAACCCACTTTGTCTGAGGCCTTAATGGTTATTTGTATTACCTCTATAATAACATGCTTCTTGTTATACTTTCTCATCTGACTACATGTCTTTGTCCCTCCTCTAAGCTTTAATAAAGCTATATAGTGTTGGAAGCTTTAATTTTTCAAAATCATGGACATTAGAAATAAGGATCAGATTTCCTGAGGTTAAAACCTTAAGATGACTGGATATCCAAATTAAATACATAAGTGAAATAACAACAATGTAATTTTCCCACCCTGTCCTTTTGTACAGTGGTATTTACTCCATTCCTGATTAAGAGAAGCTTCTAGACATAGAGCAGGGGAATGAGAGAGAAAAGAAGGGCTCCTACTTCCAGCAGTTTTCTCTCTGAGGGGAATTAACAAAATGACTCAGCTCTTTTTATTAGTAATTGGTTGTTCAAGTGTAAGATATCTAGACGGAACATACAAGTGCTCCTGTAATATAGAGGAGGTGGGTTGTTAGGGGGTTGCTGACAAAGTCATTTCATTGTCTAACTTGTGCCTGTTTCTTCTGCATCTGAACACCCTTCATAAAAACAAGACAAAGCTAAACCAGTAGACTGACCATTTTGGCTTCTTTTATGTGGGAACTGATGTAGCAAACTCTTTCAGGTTATAGACACTATGTTCCAAACTTAGGAGTGAAATGATTTTCTGACTAAAATTCTGTGGCAATGATATATTACTATATTAGATAAAAGGTAGAATACTTTAAGGAGTTGATCGGAGTGATCAATAGATATCAAAATAAGTGTCTTATAGCTGTTCTTTCTTATTTTTAATTTTCTTTTTCTAAATACAGCCTGAAGATTTTGAAATAGTAGAATATATATAATGTAGAGTAGTACCTATATATATTATATAGCATAGAAGACGTTAGTAAAATTTTTTTTTTTTTTTACTTCTCATTCATTACTGAAGAGCTCTTGTTATTCCACAGGATATACCCATAGGACTTACAAAGAATTTCCAAATTTTAGACCACAGTTCTAGCATGTACTTTAATGAATAATATGTCAACAATTCTGATAAATTAAGTGACTGCATTAGAGTCTGAAGTAAGTAGAATGAATCAAACCTCAGCATGATGGGAGGGTTCAAGAGCCAATACAATTTTATATTCTCTGAGAGGCTTGAGTATGATTTACAGATTATAAGGACAGTTGGGTTGATAAGATGTTTGTGAGGTTTGCTTATTTGTTTTTTAATTTTGTTTTTGTTGTAGTTGTGTATCTGTGTGTGTGTGACTGTCTGTGTGTGTTGTGGATGGGGTGTTGGTTATTCTCTCAAAACCAAATTCACACTTTACAATTTGAATTTTATCACCTTATTGCATGTGGGGCATTCTAGACTGTGCGCTCATTCTCATTTTTAATCAATATTTAATCAAATGGTATCCACTGGAACCTAACAGGTCCTGTGAATAACCACACACAAAATACCCAAGCTGGTGTCGTTCAAGGGCCCAGCAGGAAATAGGTAGCACCCTCAACTAGGATAATTGCTGAGAATTTGAGAAAGAAACTATTTACAGACGCGTGGCCAGGTTAAGGGAAACCAGCAAGGTTGGGGACGCAGATCTGGACTGGCAGCAGGGGGAATCTATTTCTACTCTCGACATGAAGGGGCAAAGAGGGAGAGCAGTTACTAAAACCCAGAGACTCGCAGAGCTGTGGTCTTCCTAGAGAAAGGCAGCCACCTGGCAGAGAGGGAGTGGAGGGGATGATGCCCTGAACTCTTCGCTTATTTCCTCCTGACCAAAGCACCTTCCATTGGTCAAACCAACCAGAAGCTAAAGGACAGGGCAGTCCATGGGATGCAGTCCCTTAGAGAACTGATTTCTGGGCCACAGACACCAGGGGATAAAGGCACAGGACAGACCTGGGGGGCAAAGAGAACCCACAGCATTAGTAACTGTCCCCTCAAGGGCAGACTCACATACTGTTTCTTGGCTTTGCTCCCACTTTCTGGAACTGCATGCTCAGTGAGAGGAATGATGGTACATAGTGGAGCTCCTTGTCTGTCTGGAGAAATGAACCAGAAACATACAGCTAAAATGAGCCACCTTTCCCTTTCCTGCTTTTCAGGCTCATCCCTGAGCCTGCGTGTCTTAGAAGGTAGAGCAGCAGCTTTTGTGTGACATCAGAACACAACAAGCACCTGGAAATGAGAATCCTCTTGAAGAAACACCTTAAAATAATGTGTTTAATTGAATCATATGAACTAAGAATGGTTTTATTAGCTAAAAGTATGATGATGCTAGAAGCATGCAGTGTAAAATCAAATATCTGCCCTTATATAAATGAGCTGTTTATATATTATATATTAATTTTATCTGTAAGAGCAGCAAGTGCTGAAGCTTTAAGTAAGATATACGAGGAGAAAATTATGATTGGGAAAAGACTGTCATTATTCTATTTAGTTCTGCAAGAGGATAGTTGGAAAGTCCCCAGAATAGAGGAAAAGTCACTTCCTTATCTAAACTCTTAATGGGAGAGGCAGAACAAAACAAACTCACTCTTCTTTTCTTTTCTTTTCTTTTCTTTTCTTTTCTTTTCTTTTCTTTTCTTTTCTTTTCTTTTCTTTCTTTTCTTTTCTCTCTCTCTCACACACACCATATAATTTATTAAAGCATATGGAATAAAATCTTAATTAACTGGAACCCTCAATAAAATGTGTTACAGTCATCAAAGATATCAATTTAGGTTGATATCAGGGCTTTCCTTTTAAAAAGGAATGTCTAAGAAAATTTCTGTTGTGGTATTGGAAATTTTGAGCCCAGCTTCCAAATACCTCACTTCTCCTGCCTTGTAATGATCATTGACCTTCCAAGTAATGATCCTGAAACCCTGCAATTCCCAAATCATGTATAGACTATCATCTGCCATTCATCAGACTATGTTTACCTACAGATAGTCGTGGCCTGCAATAATGCTTCACTGTCAGATGTGTTTGCAATTTCAACCACCCATAAATATAGTATGCGATCCACAAGTAATCCAGGAAGCCCCAGAGTAGAAAACGTATAAATATCACATGGGGAAGAGGCTAGTAACTATAACGGACACATGGAGAGCTTCAGGGTGTTTCTTGATTAGTATGAAGGTAAAATGTTTTATTTGTGAAAATTTAGCAAGCTATACAATTATGATATGTGTAGTTTTTTTACACATGTATACTTCAATCAAAAATTAAATGTAGACATAATCAATAGATAATGTGTGTGCACACACATGTGCACTAATCACTATTGCTGATACTTTCGTCTTTAGAGTGGGATATGACTACCCTCCTGTTTAGATACTTTTGATTTAGTTATAGGAGATAGAGTGAACAGCTTAGAAATAAACACATAGACATTAAGAAGATAAATACTAATCAATTTTAGGTCTTAATAATTCAGGGGCATTTTGATTACTATCGCTAAAAGTAGAGTTCAGTAATTGAGGCTCTTAGTGGTGACTACATATCCTCAAGAGCAATGAATTATGTTACAAATGCTGTTACTAAAGCTGGCTAACATTTAGAAATCTTCTGCCAAGATTAATAAAAGATTTACTGTTTAAAGGTGGACTTTACTTATAGTGAAATTAAGCTATACCAACAATGCTGAAAAACAGGCATTATTTTACTGCCTTAAAAGGAGGTTCTTTTGGTTAAGCTGTATTGAATGAGGAATTCCATTTAAACACGTCACCACATTCCCAGGTCATTCCATATGATCAAAATTTTAGAATAATGGGAAATCACCTACAAGGTAGATTTTGACTGTAAAGAGACATTACATACAGATTGCACACAAATACAGAAATAGTTGGTGTGATCAGAGCCGTGTAGGCTAAAACAATAGAATGTTAGAGCCAGAAGAAACATTAGAAATTATTTGACTCAATCTGCATACTTTATAATGGAGGAAATTTAGGTATAGAGAGGTTAAATTGACTTCCTAAAAATGCACAGATAGTTGTGTTGAGGCTGGTTTGCAACCAGAACTAAAATATTCCTGTTTCATGATTGGTCCTCTTCACTCCACCTGGTTGTTAAGAGCAGAAGTCTGGAGTCAGACCAATTTGGGTTCAAATATTAGCTCTTAGATGTGCCAGTTGGGTTTGACCTTGGGCTCCAGTGACAGATCCTACCCTGTGAGAAAATATTGCCTGAGCATTAATTCAGAGCTACAGACACGAAGATGTTGCATAGGAAGATTACCGAGGGCCACTCCCTAAAACAAAACTGAGTCAGGAGAGGAACTATAAGGCTCATGAACCTCTCTCTACAGGAAGGAGACTGAGAGAAAGGGAGACCTTTCCAAAGTTTGTAGCCATCACAGCCTCTAGGCCTGACTGCCCAGTGAAATTATGCTTTGCATCTTTCTGCCTGCAGACGTTCATTCAGCCAGGGACCCGCAGGGATGTTTGGTGTGGCGTTTGGATGTTATCCCTTCTTTTTACAGCCAATCTAAACATGTTGAACGTGGTTTGTACTTCCAGGCATTGCTGAGTTCTAATGCTGTTTGCACTGGAGTGTTGATATGTGCTATCTAATGGAAATAGTAATAGGACTCGCCTTAAAGGGCTGTTATGGGAATGAAAAGAGATAACGTATAAAAGTGTTTGTTAAGATGCTTGACATACTTTAGACACTTAACAAATGTTGCATGCAACTATTGTTATTTAGCTACAACATAACAGCGGATTTGGTATTGATGATGTCCAGGAAACTTGACCACTGTTTGACTCCGGCAAGTTCCTCTTTGTAAAGTATATTGCTTTAAAATGATGGCTTTGGTGAAAGCACTAGACAACAGGAAAAAAAGCTGATGAAGTCTTATTACCTAGAAATTGCATCTGGTTGGGACTCTCTGACCTGTTTTGTAAGAGACAAATATATAGTTGAATCTTACTTTTTTCAAGCCTGGTCTTTGGGTTGGAAGACCTAAGATCAAGCTTCCACTCCATCACTTAATAAAAGGTGTCAATGAGCAAATTACAGACTATACTGAGCCTCTGTTTTCTCATCTTTAAAATGAGGTTGATCGTAATACCTAGTCAGTGGGTGGTTGTGGAAGTCAAGGGAGAATGTGTACATGAAGAAGCAAAAACTTTGTTAAGATGAATGCTAAGAAGTGGAAATCTTAAGGATATTGTGTTTTCCTCTCTTTCCAGTTTTCATCTGGCTGCTGCAAAAGGACAGGTGGACTGCCTCAGGGTCATGGTTACACATGGTGTGGATGTGACAGCCCAAGATACTAGCGGTACGTGGATTTTAATCTCTTAAGTTAGCAGGCCAGCTCGAGAATAGGTATCACAAAGGCACATAAATTCATTGTGGAAAATTGAGAGTCTCTAGATAAGCCAAAGAAGAAAATAGAATCACCTCCAATGACTCGGCTGTGACATGGTTTCATCATTTGTCTGTGTCTTTATGTTTTCATCTTATATGTGGTTACTCAACAGAGACTGTATGCTTCTTATACTCCATTTTTATATTATTTTCTAAGATTATGTGTATGGACCAAGCAATATTCCCTGCTTTTGGTTTTATTGTGTGAGGTGATGAATGGGGTGAGTTATCCAGGAGCTAATTTCATCAACTAGCTGAGATGGGCCTTGTGGGCAAAAGCTATGATCTGCATCTGGACCAGCTGGTAAGGCCCTGCATATATAGTGCAACATCAGTAATTATATCATTTTAGGTAGCCTTAGAAGCTTAAGTGAGATGGTCAGTGTGGGTGTCTTAGCAGTGCCAGGCACACACAAGTGCTCACTTCATTTTTCTACTTCATTTCTTCATTTTTCATATTACCATGATTATTGCTACTTCATTTCTTCATTTTTCATATTACCATGATTATTGCTACTTCAGCCAGATCACCTTTGTTCTCTTTTACACATTGGGCTTTTGAAGGTTTTACATCTTTTTTTAAAAAAATAAAATAAAAAAGGTTTGACAATCACCATGTCACCTGCTCTCATTTTACAAATCAGAAAAAGAAAATCCAAAGACTTGCAGAAGATCATGACAGGTTTTTGGATTTTGGGGTTTTCCCCATCCCTTAATTGCTGATTTGCCAACCAGCACCACAGGTACCTAGCAGGAGATGGAAAAGTCAGCTCCTAAGCTCAGTGGGCCATCTCTGAACTGGACTCATGTGATTTGTCTGACACTTTTCATTGCTTGTTTGCTCTTCTTCATTGGTGTAAGAATTGGCAATTCTTTAGAAAACAATTCTCTTGAGCAAACAGTAAAATTGACTCCTAAACTTTTTTTTTGGATGCCTGGAATATATAATGGAATTAAATAGAAGCATTACCAGATGATTGAAAAAGACCAAATAATCTTTTTGTTACCATAAAACTCTATTTAATAGGAAGAATGGTTATTATAAATAAATCTATTACAATCTTATTAATATTTTACCTGTCCTGGAATATAACAAAGTGAATATACTTGTGCTCAGTGATAAAAACTTGATGTGAACATGAGGGTTTCTAAGAATAATATTGTTTAAATATAGTTAAAATTGTAAATAAGGACCAAATAAATTTATATTTTTATTCTTTAAATATATTGTACACTCTAAAACTCTAACTTAAAAAAAATTAAACTTTCTTATCTAGTTGAGTATCATTTAATTATCTTTATTTTTAAATGTTTCTGTATTGTTATTTGAAATTGTGATTTCTCGGACTTTGGCCTTTTGGTATTTGTTTGTTATATCTTCATATCCCATGATTTCACAGATTTTAAAATTTTTCACATGTACTTGACAAGTATTTTCTATTGTATTAGTTAATTGTTCCCTGTTTTCTCTAGCAGTCTTAAGAATTGACTAAATGGTCACAGTTTGAGTTAGTTTTAGGAGAAGGCGTCCTGTAGCTGGGGCAGCTGGGCCATCTTGCTTTCGGTAGTAGGATTCTTAGACAACCTGTGATAGTCCAAGACTCTTGATTTATAAGTACCACTGGTATTTTATTTGCAGGCAAAGTTCTCCTGGAATGCACTTGAATTAGGGTTGTGCTTATTATTTGTCTATAGGGAAATTGCTTCCTGATATTCCAGATAGATCCATAACTGTATGAGAGCCAGACTTATGCATTGTCTCCTGATAGGGAGATTCTGTCACTAATATAATATATTCTCTCCAGAAAATTTTGCATTTGGAACGAGAATTTTGTTTTAATGTTAACAATGAAAGACATCTTACTTCACTATGATAGTGTCCAGGGAATGATGTGTCATTCAAATTTTGAGACTATTTTAAGTGAAAAATACTTTTGTGCTGCTGCTTAGGAAGACACATCACATGGCCAGGGGATAAAAGAACTTTTGTTCTTTTATACTTCTGTAGAAATCCAGCACCCACTCCAGATATGACTAGAACACTTGAAGTGAAATGAAAGCCTGTTACTCATGACAAGTTGTTTAAATCTCCCTACTTTCTTGTCTTTGGAGAACTGTGCCTTTTTCATATGGGTGCTATTTATGCAGAAAGCTTTTGTCCACAGCATAGACAAAAGTTAATGCATTGCATGCATGACATAAACAGTCTCCAACTTACAATCAGGACGTGTTCCAGAAATTCATTTGTAAGGCATTTGTTTAAAACTTAGAATGTGTTTGTCCTTAGAAACAGTGGTACAAATGATGGGTGGAGGGGCCAACCTTGCCCACCAATCTATTTGATGCATAATGTGCCTAACCTCATATAATTTTGCTTTCTATATACCCAGAAGGAGGGTTCTCAAAGGAAAAGGAAGAGACTATCTTTGTCTTTCTGCATCCAAGGGTCTCTTCCCTCATTTTTAGATCTTTCTTTCCCTCCTATTTTCAGGAAAGGAAGGGGGGATTCCTGTCTCCCGTATCCCACCCTGACTAAACAACTCCTGCTCACACCTACCCTTAAAGTCTCTCAGCACAGCTGATCTCAGAGTAGAAGGAATCTGATCTTTTGACCTTACACATGCTTTTGTGCTACTCACTGTGGTCCTATGACTCTCTGATTTTTAAATATGGTGTTTCCTAGCCATATGCATCTCTAATTAGAGGATTTCTGGTAAGTGTTATGGAGTGAATACTAATTCAGAAAGGAGAGTGGTATTTTGGGACTGGGCCACCATACAAAAGAAATTGTTCCTCTAAGTTGGTGGTTCTCAGCTTGAGTTAATATTGTCCCCCAGGGGACATTTTTGACTGTCAAAACTGTATGTCTAGTGGGTAGAGGCCAGAGGTGCTGCTTAGTATCCTGTACTGCACAGGACAGTCACCCACAGCAGTTACCCAGCCTAAAAGGTCATTAGTGCTGACCAGAGCAACACGCCTAAACCGTGTCCCAAAGACTGGGCGTTGTATTACAGGTGTTATACTGGGAATATCTTTGTCAAATAGTTTGAGAAATGCAGGATTTAAAAGCTGACTAGGTGTTTTGAGTTGGGTGGCAGGTGTAACTTTGGTTCCCTCTCCTTGCACCCCTTAATCCACAGTTAATATTCTAGTGGGGGTAAAAAAAAACCCAACTATATGTGTGTGTCTATATACAGAGAGGGGTGAAAGGGAGTGATGGAAGATGTTAAGTGCTGTGAAGAATAAAGAAATATAGCAAAGAGTAGAGATAAAAAGGGTTGGGAAGGAATTGGAATTTTAAACAAGGAGGTAAGGAAAGGCCTCATTCAGAAGACAGTATTTCAGAGGGAAGTGAAAGCAAGTGTGTAGTTGTCCTAGGAAAGGAGACTTCAGGCTAGGCGTGGAGCAACTGCAGATGCCCTAGGCTGGGCCCTCTTAGGCTGCCCCTAAGCCCATCTTCCATAGAAATGCTGTAGGCCCATTCGGCAGTAGGGCGAGTTGGGTAGAGCATTAGGATTTCTTAAAGTTATCTGACCACAGAGCCATCAGAGAGTGTCATGTGGGAGTCAAGAAGGGAAATTAATGAAATGCTACTTCAACAGTGTATTGCTTTATAACTCTTTCCCTTCTTCTCTGTATGAACTTGGAAAATCTGAGAACTCCAGGTAACCGCCATTCAGGGCTGGAGTACGTGTAGAGGAGAGGGAAATGGGAAGTCAAAAGTAGGTATTTAAATGCGTAGGGTCTTTGATGTGTTCTCTGCTGGCTTGTGGGCCACCTTTGGGTCCCTCAGCCTGTGACACTTGTAGCCCGGTGTGACTGCTGTGGGCACAGATATTTGGCATACACACTGACAGCCAAAAGCAGAACGTCTAAGCTGCATGTCATGAGTCCACCGCATGCTTCTGGCCCAGGGCTTGCAGGAGAGCAGCACTTGGCGGCCGTGAATGTCATCTGGTGGGCGGGATGCGCCGTGTTCTCCCGCTCTGTCACACTGAAGAATGTGAGGCCTTATTCTCAAGAGTAACAATTCCTTCTTTGTTGGAGAACATTTATTTCCTCATAGCTGTCTTTAGTGCAGAGATAAGAAAGTGATTTAAAAAAATATGGCCTTTATATTCGATTGTTTCAATCCATTTAGGACACAGCGCTTTACACCTCGCAGCTAAGAACAGCCACCATGAGTGCGTCAAGAAGCTCCTTCAGGTAAAGCGATGACAACTTAAAATTATAAATGTGTCAGTTTTGCAGTGTAAAAGAAACCTTTGTGGATGAACAAATACGCTCCCCCATACTCCTTTAAGTACGGTTCCAGAACATGTTTCCCAAAAAGTTTCATTATTGAAACAACAGCCAAGGCGAAGATTATTTCCATAGCAGTTCTCACTGGTAGAGAGAGGATCCCAACTAAAATTTGCAGTATCTTTTTGGGATCTAGCCCTTTTCTCCCCTTTATTTGGCTTCCCTTTGTCTTTTCTGGAGGACTTAACACCCTCCAAATAGTTTTTAACAAATCTTTTTTCAAGCTGTTGGAGATCTTCATGACACAGGGTCTCCACTATCCTCGAATTCTCTCTTTCAGTCGTTAGTAGAATGCAGTTCTTGAGAAGCAGAATTTCAACCATCATTTCCTTATATGTAACTTGTGCTTTTAGTTCTTGGTTTTTGTTTAAGTTCTTGGTTTTATTCTTCTTTATAATTTTAAACCAACTCTCCAGTTTGGTAACCTTGCCAGGAAGTTTATAATGATCCCTTAAAATGACAACTTCCAAAAATCTTTAAAGATGAATATTTAATGAACTCCCAATAGCAGTCCATACAGTAACATCCAGCTGTTGCCAGTCAAAATGCAAGCTGGCTGTTTTCAGAAACAGCATAGGGCAATAAAAGATGTGTTTGGAGTACTATCTGTTCTGTTGAGCGGTTGTCTCGGCCTTCATAAGCACAGTTTGGGAACCAGCATCTTGCTTTAATTTGGCTTTGAAATTCTAATGCAAAAATGTGGTCACATTTTTCAACTTGTCCTGCTCTGTTGATCACATAGCTTCTTGTCTTGCATTACATGATGTAAGCTACTGCCAATTCCAGGAATGCATAACCTTAACAGGTCTTTGAAGCAAAATTCAAGAAAGATTGATCAATGTCTGTGATGTTGCATTATGAGGCTTCCCCCTAAAGACAATTAAAATAGAACTTTTCTTACCTACCTCCTAGGGGACTAGGCACTCTAGATAACCGAAAATCATTGACTTGCCCAAATGTCCTGCCTCCACGCCTTTGGCCCTACCTCAGTGTTTTTTACAAATTTATTTGCATTTTAAATCTCTGTTCCCATCCTGGCTTGGCTATGCAGATTTTGCATCTGGCTCTGATTTTAAGGAAGAATTAACCTGACAAGCTAGAAATCCTTGTGGGCAAGGACCAGATATTCTAGCCTCTAATGTAATTTTATATCTGGTTATGCAAATGGATTGGTTTTTCTCCAAAATCTTTGAAGGCTTTAAACAGTTCCTTGTGGTGTTCTAAAATTAGGCCAAAGCATGGTAAGTCGTAACTCGATCTCCATTCTTACCACTAAAGGGCAGACATTTCACTCTAAGGTAGCCTGTTTTTACCTCCTCTAACTTCCAAACTGTCCCAATTGCTCTTCTTTTTGGATGGTTGTGAAACCTCGGCCTTCAGTGTTCTCCTGATGGGTCACTTTCCTGGGGTCCTGCACCTCTCTGCTCCTAGGCTGTTCTTCACCTCCTGTCTCAGTAGCCTCAACTCTCTGTGATATGACCCCTTTTACCTCCCGCTACCCCTCACTCCTGTACTCTGTGCGTTTACTGATCTCTCGGGTTCCCCAGGCCTTTGCTGTTACTCTCTGTCTACTGGGGATATTCCCCCTCTTCAGTGGCTACACACTTAAAGTTCTTCTTTAAATTACGAGGCAATGAGCACAGATAGAGCCTTGTGAGAGTCTTCAAATTCAAACAAACTCTCTCTCTCCTTCCCCTGATCACCAGCTATTTTTCCCACCCTTTCTGAGTTCTCCCCTGGTGGACACTGTGTACTATGTCAAGCATTGAATATATTCCGATGAACAGAGCAGACCCTATCCTGGTGAAGCTCACAGTCTGGTAAACAAGTGCACACATATATATTACAAATTGCACAGCACGAAGAAGGAAATGAACAGGCTACTGTGAGAGGTAGAGGTTCAGGGAAGGCCTCATGGGGGAGATGATATTTAAGCTGAGAGCCCCAGTGATGCAAAGAGCCAAGGGGAAAGCATTCCGAGCCAATAGAACAGCAAGTGCAAAGGGCCTGGGGTAGGAAAGGTGCTGAACAGGGAGGAAGGAAAGCCAGTGCTTGGGCTTGGGGCAAGGCAAGCGGGGAAGAAAAATGGCATGGCATGCAGGGCCTTGCGTTTCATGTTAGGCAGACTGCAGTTAATCCTAAGTACAGCACGGAACTATGAAGGGCTTTTAAGTAGATAGTGCTATTCACAGTTTTAAAAGATCATCTGAGTTGTGTAGAGAATTGATTAAAAAGGAAAAAAGCAGAACTGGGGAGACCAAGAGGCTACCTTAGCTGTCTAGATGAAAAGATGTTGGCTTGTGCTAGGGTGTTGGTAACAAGAAAGAGAAAAGGGTGGCTCAGAGGTATGCTTTGGAGAAAGAATTGACAGGACATGGTGGTAGATTAGATGTGGGAGGAAGAGGAGAAGTTATCAAAGATGATTCCCTGGTTTCTGGCTTATTGACTAGATGGACAGACAGTAGAGTCCAGAGGATCAGGCTAGGCGTCAGGGAGGGGAAACCAGCAGTTTGGGCTGTGCTACCTTTGAGGTGCTTACAAGATGTTAGAGCCAAGGTGTGAAGTAGGCAGTGGGTTAACAAGCCACTTGGTGCTCAGAGATGACCTTTGTCATGTATGGGTAAGAATGCAGGTGAGTTTGAATCCCAGCTCTGCCAGTTACTGGGGCTTGGGCAAATTACTAATTTCTTTGTGGCTCCGTTTCCTCCTCTGAATTGGTAATAATGGTGTCTAACTAGGGTTGTTAGAGACTTAAAGCAATTATTCCTTGAACAGGACTGGCATATGATAGCTAATACTTACATAATACATGTAATTATTGTTATTGTTAAGATAGACATTTGGGAGTCACTTGCTTCTAGACCTCTAGATAGTATTTCACGCCGTGAGTGTGCATGAGGTTACCAAGGAAGAAAGCTTAGAGAAAGGGCACTGAGGAACCCTGAGGTTTTCTGTTTGGCGAGGAAGAGGGGTGGCCAGGGCATCAGAAGGAAAACCAGAATGGATGGGCCAGGCAGGGCTCTGGGAGCTGAGAGGAGGAGTGTTTGGAGGAGAGGGAGTAGGTTACAGCTGAGAAGTTGGTAAGGGGAAGACCAAAGTGTTCATGGTCATTGGAAACATGAAGGTGGCCTTGACTAGGGCCAAGTCTTGAGGGTAGGAACCAAACTGCTGTGGGCTCGGGACTGAATAGTGGCGAGGAAGCCTGGACTGTGTGTAGGCGATTCTTAAGGGAAAGCTGGTCTTGTGTAGGGGGACTGAGAATTAGGACAAGAGACAGTGGGAAAGGCAGGCTCAAGATGAGAGATTCTAGAGCATGTTTGCTGGCTGGCAGGGATGATGGAGTGATGCTGTAAGGGGAGGAGTGGACAGACAGAGTGACGGAGTGGGGACAGTAGTGTCCCTGTCCCAGAAGAGACGAGTCTCTCTTCCCGTGAGAGACTGTAGGCCCTGGAGCACAGCAACTGGAGCTTATTTATGTTTACGGCCTTCCTAATAAGTCACGTCATACCTTGCAGGGAAAGGATGAACCAAACGGAATTTGTGCCAGATATTTTATTATGTGTATTTATCTTTGTCTTATAGTCTAAATGCCCAGCCGAAAGTATTGACAGCTCTGGGAAAACAGCTTTACATTATGCAGGTAACTCTCATTCTCTTGTCTTCTGCTGTAACAAACTCTAACTTTTCATTTTCCTTATTCAGGTTGTTAACCTTACTTACTGTCCTAATCCTGGTGCTGTTTTCTGTCACCATTCCTGGACATTCCCATTTTACTTAGTTTGTAAAACATGTGGAGTTTACTGAGGAATACACCTAGAATTCATCAATTGTCTGCCACCCAACCAGTAAATATTACCCTGGTTCATATATTTTAACTGATGTAAGGTTTCGGTTTAAGAGATATTCATAGGCACTTGTGAATTTCAGGTAATGTGTGATAACAGATTTTTGGTTTTGGAGATGATTATGACCATCAGTCAGTTTTACTTATCAGCGTTTTGTTTTAGCATTGTCACACAGTTGCAAGTGACAAACGTCGATGCTGAACTATGGGTGATTAGATTTATAGATTTCTTTTATTACTAGTTTGTGAAAAAGCTAAGTCCTGTGAAAAGCTGAACCAAATGTTTGCCTGAAGGCAGCCGGCAGTCAGGTCAGCATAACTCTGAAAGTAAGCAGTCATGTAAAACATGTCATACTTGACCTTCCTACCACCATTTCTCTTCACTGCAACTGTAGTAAACATTTGCAGACTGGGTAGAACACCAACTTTTCCTTCCTAGCAGCTTTTGATGCCCCTGGTTATAGGGTAGCTTTGTGATTGGCTATGCCATTTGTATTTTCCTTCCCCCAGCGGCGCAGGGCTGCCTTCAAGCTGTGCAGGTTCTCTGCGAGCACAAGAGCCCCATAAACTTCAAGGACTTGGTAAGTACCAGGTGGTCACTAGCGGTGGAGCTGGACAGTGGTTTCTAGAGCACAGTGGGCTGCCTCTAGAGTCACTGAGACTTTGGACATCTGAGTATATGGCAAAATTCGGTTGCTTTTCAACCTAGATCCTCTTCTACAAAATGAATTTGTGTATTGATATTCTCCCTCCTTCGTCCCTAAGGCATTAATAAAACCTTCTGTAGCGTGTACTTCCTAAATATGTATATTTGTTTCTAAGAATATGCCCATGTTCTACCATCAACCTCAATATGAATAAAGCTTAATTTCTTGATTCTTAAAAGTAAAAAATAAGTCTACATAGAAATTCTAGTATTTTTTTCTCTGTACCCCATGTATTACTTCCATGGATCCCTTGTGGTTAGAATTTCCCAACTTTGAAGACCAATGTTGGCCTGTTGTAACCCCCCTGGGCTATTTTTGAGAATAAAAATTTGTTATAAAGTGGCCTATCACATACAGTTACAGGGTTAGATTTCATGCTGCAGCATGAGAATTAACATGCTTATACCTGATGGAGATATTGTGAGGTGATTTCTATTAGATACAATCTATAAATAAATTCAGACTCCCTGAATTTTTGTACTTGATAACCACAAGTATTGTAACTTCTATAATGTCTAGAAATCTGTCTGAAATTCTACTGTAAGACTAGACTTAATCAATAAGCAACAATTAATCTTTTTTAAAAACCCCCATTTTTAAATAGTTGGACATATTGCAACTTATCTTCCTTCTTTGTCTATTTGAACGCTTTCTACCTTAACCCTTTCCACTCGGATGTCCAGTGTGGATAATGTCGAGTAGATAATGAGAAAAAAGCAAGCGAGTGCAAAGGGTTAAAGCTTACTGTCAACCAGTTATGTCAACCAGTATGTTATTACTGTCAACCGGTATGTTCCAGAAAAAAAAACAAAACAGTAATAGCTTCTCTTTATGGTTTGTGTCATTTGGTCAGGCCTAAGATTACAGAAAATACTCAGCTATATATTCTAGTGTTTTCCTCATTTGTTTTATATTGTAATGTTTAAATTGTTAATCCACCTGATATAGTAGGTACATGAGTTGGGGATCTAATTTTATTTTTTCCTAAAGGCATTGCCAATTTGCATGACATATTAAACAAATAATTCTTTCTAACCATCTCTTTATCTAGTCGTCTGTTAGTAATAGATAAACAGATTCTTAATTTATGTTGCATTTTTGATACCTAGTAAGATTCCTAAAGGGCACACTTTCCTGCAAGAAAAGAGTGGAATAGTGGGATATACTTATTTAGCTCACTGGTAAGAAGCTGCTTAGGGGGCAGGGGGGACCTTTGATTGCCATGTGAAGACAAGTCCTTTGTTTCCCCAGCACCATCCTTCCATACTCCTGTTATACTTGCCTTGAGCCTTTACATACTTTGTGTTCCACCCTTTCTCACATCGTCGTCACCCAGACAGAGTGACAGCTGAGAGAATAAGCAGCCCAAGAGGCTGGAGGCTCCTAGAGAAAAGCCAACATCAGCAAAACTCCATAAGAAGAATTGTGCCAGCATGTAATGGTGGCCCTATAGGGGCAAAGGATATCATGATGGATCAAATATTAGACCAGCAATACAAGTCAAGGAAAGAAATGTGGAAAGAACAAGGGCCAGTGTTTGCAATTCTAGCATTCAGTGTCTGAGTTGGGATCTAAATCTGAGTTTGTCTCCTAGGATGGGAATATACCACTGCTTCTTGCAGTGCAAAATGGCCACAGTGAGATCTGTCACTTTCTCCTGGATCACGGAGCAGATGTCAATTCCAGGGACAAAAGTGGAAGGTACTGCATGATTAGGCACAAGTCATGGGACTTTAGTGATATGCACATTCTCAGAGTCTTTCAAAATATCACAGCTATATTTTGGATGATTTGTTATAAAGTGGTTTCAACTTCTTTCCTTTTAAAATTTCTACCTCTTTTGAGAATCAAAAATCTGTGTTGACTTAAAAGCAGTTTTTCCCAGACTTCTGTGGGCATCACTGCTAAGTGTGTGACGAGACTATTAAATATTAAAGTGAATAAGCCATTTCTTGTGACTTTTCATGCAAAATAAAATAAAAGTAAATATGTGGTTGATTTTTTAAAGTAGTCTTAGTATAGGTTCTTTAAAATGCTTAATGTTAAAGAAGAGTAAGATATGTGCCAATCATATAAATTTCTTCATATTATGCCAAATAGTATATAGATAGAAAATTATGTCTCTGTTTTTTGGCTAAATGTGGTTTAAAGTTTTGATTTAATCTGAAGTTAAAAAAAATAACTACTTTCATCTTGAGAGCATTCCACTTCAAATTCCCCATAAGATTAAGTATAGTAAAGGTTTAACTGCAGTTAATCTTCTTTTCCTTGTTTTCAAGACAAATGATTTTCCAGTAAAGGGTTTTCACATTCTGTTAGTACTAATTTTGTTTCTCCTTTTTTTCTTTAGAACTGCTCTCATGCTGGCTTGTGAGATTGGCAGCTCTAACATCGTGGAAGCCTTAATTAAAAAGGGTGCAGACCTAAACCTTGTAGACTCTCTTGGACACAATGCCTTACATTATTCCAAACTCTCAGAAAATGCAGGAATTCAAAGCCTTCTATTATCAAAAATCTCTCAGGATGTTGGTATGTGAAAGAAAATAGCCAATGTTGTTTTAAATTTATCCACTCCATTTTCCCCAAAGGATGAAGGAATTTGTGCAATATGATATATTTTATTATTCTTTTAAACATATTCTTGAAGAAAAATGAAGTGTTAAATTACATGTTTGTGTGTTCCCCTTACCCAAAGTGGATATGAGTCATTATGATTCTTATAGTTCTTTTTTTTACTTTTTCCTCTATAGATTTAAAGACCCCAACAAAACCAAAGCAGGTATTTATCTATGGGGAAGGGTTGTGGGTTTTTATGTTGTTTTGTTTTGTTTTAATCTTTGCTTATGGGAATTTGAAAATGCTCAGGTTAATCCATTCTGTGGGCCCCCAGAAAAGTGATAAAAGATTATATTAAAAATACTTAAGCACTGAAATATCTTTGGAATAAACGAATCATTGTTATAAGGTGGTGTTTTCTTAATAATTTACTTTATTTCAGAAGCATGTAACTGTAAACTTGCTACTTATATATTCATTTTTTTCTGAAATGTACTAATACTTCTATTGGTGTGAAAATGTTACATGTGGTTTAAGTTTTGAGACTGAATAACAATAATTTACATACTTATAATATCTCATGGACTACAGACCTACAGCCATGAAAATGTCAGATATTTAATGAAAATAAGGGAATTTAGCTGTTTCTTTTAATTGGGGATTTTCTAAAATTTCATCTAGTATTATACAAAGTAAAAATTGAGAAGTTTGCCCTGTTATTTTGTAGTATTTCCTAGCAACTGTTGTAACTATCTGTTTTTGACAAAGAGATGTATGTTTGGCTATTATATTTATTTATTTATACATCAAGATTCTTGAAGAAATTATAAACAGCAAATACTCAATAATGAATTTATTATGTTTTTACTGTATTACTTATAAGTAACCTTCAGAGATGAGGTTCCCACTTTCCCTGTTATTTACATTCTTTAAAAAAAGGAATGGGGCCGGGCATAGTGGCTTATGCCTGTAATCCCAGCACTCTGGGTGGTTGAGCCAAGGGAATTGCTTGAGGACAGGAGTTTGAGACCAGCCCGAGCAAGAGCAAGATCCCGTCTCTACAAAAAAACACAAAAATTAGCTGGGTGTGGTGGTGCATGCCTGTAGTCCCAGCTGCCCAGGAGAGGTTGCTGTGAGCTATGATGAGGATACTGCATTCTAACATGGGCAACAGAGCAAGACCCTGTCTCAAAAAAAAAAAAAAAAAAAAAAAGGAATGGAAGTAATGCAGAGGCATAGGAAATACCACTGCTTTTCATAAAGACAGAAAGCTGACTGTGAATATATTCTGGTTTCTAAATTGTGGTAGACAACTCTTCAACCCAACCTCTGCTTCCCACACCAACTCAGTGTGGTTTTGTCTTATGTGCTTTTATCGTCTTGCTATTAAAGCATGGGCTGCTAGAAGAAAACTTGAAGCATGCATATTATTTATTGTTATGATGATGGCAGATTTTAGATCTTCATGGAGTAGGAAATGCATGAACTTTTGAGGTTTTTCTCATTTGTTTGATGAAGCTACTTGCTCAGACTTTACTAACCTAACTAACCCACCTCCATTCTTTGGACTGTGATAACTTTCAGCATGATCAAGTCTCTAAAATAAGCTCAGAAAGAAGTGGAACTCCAAAAAAACGCAAAGCTCCACCACCTCCTATCAGTCCTACCCAGGTAAAAACAAAAGCAAATCAACAATCATCAAACATACAGCAACAAAGCCAGAATTTTGTCATTTTGTGTTTAGGCCAAAAAAAAAAGGAATGTTTTAGAACTGGCCTTTAAGTACACATTTAAATTTTTCCTTAGCATTTTTAAATTACAAATTGTGATAAGGAGATTTAGGTTATTAGTATAATAACAAAAATTTCCAATAATAATATTGATTCTTATCTATTTTAAAACTGTAGAGTTTAACAGTATCTTTTTTTAAAAAAAAGCCTCAAGGAAATTTCTCAAAATCTTATGATGTAAACTTTTCCCTTAAGATAAGAAAGTCAGTCTATTTTTAATTCCTCATATTAACAGTTTTAGTAAAGGGTGGGAGAATAAGTAGTTAGTGAGGCAGTTAATTGAAAATGAATTTTAGTTTGTTTCTTATAATAGTGCTATAATATATTTACCTATCTAATTATAGTTAAGGTTGACTAATATTAACAGTAGATTTCATTTCTGAGCTTATAGTGATTACTACATAGAGAAGAAAGTTCAGAAATGTGTGAAATGGCAAGTAAAAACAGGCTGGAGTTTGTTATTAAAAAATTCATAGGCCACAAAGAGAATAATCCATATCCAAATAGTAGAGAGGAATATCTCATCTGAGAAGTAATTTTAAATATATTTTAGCATATTTATTAATATTCTTATCTGCAATAGGAGTTTTATAGATTTTAAAAACTGATCCTCTAACCTTTGATAGGTAAAGGCAAAGTTATAAAATCTAACCAAAATGTTATTAAAAAAAAAAACCAAAAACATTTATTAGGTGTTGGGCAGGTGGGGGGAGGGGATGGGTTTATATATATACATTATAAGTGCATTGTGCATTGTCGGGGGGATAGACACTCTTGAAGCTCTGACTCAAGGGGGGAGGAAAGGCACTCGCAATGTATGTAACCTTAACATTTGTACCCCCATATTATGCTGAAATAAAAAAAATAGAAAAAAAACAAAAATTGATTCTAATTAGTATAGGAGCAAAGTTACTTAATTATACTTTGCAGACTTTCAAAAAGTATTTGAAGTAACTAAATTACATTGAAAGTATGTTACCCCTGAAATAATTGATGCTAAGGATATTTACTGTTAGTTTTAATTGCATCAGTTAAACAAGTTTATTCTTTGGCACTGGAGAAGAAAGGACTTTGAAGATGTATTTTTTATCGGTGGTTTTTATTTTGTTGTTTTAGTTGAGTGATGTGTCTTCCCCAAGATCAATAACTTCAACACCACTTTCAGGAAAGGAATCAGTATTTTTTGCTGAACCACCCTTCAAGGTATTTCCTTTCTGTGTTCAATTTTTGTTACTGTAGTTTAAGATATGTGATAGACTTGCTTTAAGTTATACAACCTGGGAAAAATAGAATATACTTCTGAATCATTTGTTCATAACCTTTGTACTGTGAAAGGACCCCTTGATTATTTTTCCTGGCATGGACCCCATAAAATAAGAATAGGGTGAATCAATTATGTTTACTAGTGAGTAATTCATTTTCTCCACTAAAAAAATCAAAGTACACTTACATGGAATCTAAAAAGTTTGAACTCATAGAACCAGAGGATAGAATGGTGGATGGAAGGACAGAGGGTTGGAGAGATATAGGTCAAAGTGCAACATTTCGGTTAGATAGTTGGAGTAAGTTCAAGAGATCTATTGTATGAAATGATGATTACAGTTAATGACAATGCAATAAAAGAGTAGATTTTTTTGTTCTCATTGCAAAAAATAATAAATATGTGAGGTAATACATGTTAATTAGCTCTATTTAGCCATTCTACATTATATACATATTTTAAAACATGATGTACATGATAAATATATACAATTTTTGTTTGTCAATTAAAAAGTAAATTAATTTTTTAAAAAGAAATAAGGTGTGAAAGTGTCTAGCTTTTGGGACAGTCACTCTCATTTTTTCCCTGAATATAGATTGTTTAGGAAACCACAAAAATCATATTTTAGTAAATTGTTTACATGCAATTTGGTATCCTGGATTAGATCCTGGGACATGAAAAGGACATTAATGACAAAACTGGTGCCATCTGAATAAAGTCTATAATTTAGTTAATAGTAAGTAATTTACCAATGTTACTATCTTCATTTTGACAAATGAAGCATGGCTACATACATAATTTATTAACATTAGAAGAAGCTGGGTGAAGGGTTCTATCTTGCACTTTTTTTGTAAATCAAAAATTGTTCCAAATAAAAAGTGTGTTAGAAATTTTTTAAAAGAGACAGAGATTGGAACTTATTTGATAACCAGTCTTTTTTTATTATTATTATTTTTTTGGAGTCAGAGTCTTGCTCTGTTGTCTGGGCTGGAGTGCAGTGGTGTCATCATAGCCCACTGCAGCCTCAAACTCCTGGGCTCAAGTGGTTCTCCTGCCTCAGCCTCCCAAGTAGCTGGGACTACAGGCATGTGCCACCACATCTGGCTCATTTTTAATTTTTTGTTAGAGACTGGGTCTTGCTATTGCTCCAGCTGGTTTCAAACTCCTGGCCTCAAGCGATCCTCCTTCCTCAGCCTCCCAGGGAGCTAGGATTACAGGTGTGCACCATTGCGCTGGGCTGATAACCAGTGTTTATATCAAATTGAGTTGATATAATACCAACCAAAGAGATAGAAACTTTTGTTATTCATAATTTCTTACTGGAAAGTAATTGTATATTTTTAATTAAACATTTTCCTGACTATAAAAGTAATACATATATTTATTTTTAAAAATCCATTAGATCTTATTCCATTTGATTCTGTAAATTTGTGGTTGGAAAGTATTTTAAAGAAGTGGGAGGATATTTCCATTCAATATTTGTTTACCTAACAATTACTGGGAAATTGTACTTGGGAGAAAGTAAATGTGTTAAAATGAAATTTCAGTTGTATAATTCAGGGGTCCTCAAACTTTTTAAACAGGGAGCTAGTTCACTGTCCCTCAGACTGTTGGAGGGCTGGACTATAGTTTAAAAAAAACTATGGGCCGGGCGTGGTGGCTCACCCCTGTAATCCTAGCACTCTGAGAGGCTGAGGTCGGCGGATTGCTCAAGGTCAGGAGTTCGAAACCAGCCTGAGCAAGAGTGAGACCCCATCTCTACTATAAATAGAAAGAAATTAATTGGCCAACTAATATATATATATATATATATATATATATATATACATATATATATATATATATAAAAAAATTAGCCGGGCATGGTGGCGCATGCCTGTAGTCCCAGCTACTTGGGAGGCTGAGGCAGCAGGATTGCTTGAGCCCAGGAGATTGAGGTGGCTGTGAGCGAGGCTGATGCCACAGCACTCTAGCCTGGGCAACAAAGCGAGACTTTGTCTCACCAAAAAAAAAAAAGAAAGAAAAACTATGAACAAATTCTTATGCACACTGCACATATCTTATTTTGAAGTAAAAAAACAAATGGGCAAAAACACCTGCATGTGGCCCACGGGCCATAGTTTGAGGATGCCTGGTATAATTGTGTATTTACTTTCCCTAATTTAAGAATTACTAAAGATGTTTTCTTTTAATTTGGATGCATGTTGATCCGAAAAAGATTCTATCAATCTGTCATTTCCTTCACTTAATACTTAATACCCATGTAAGACAAGGTAAAGAAGTTATGCTTTTAGAAATAGTGCACTAATATCTTCTAACATGGCTGTGGCTCAAAGGAATCAATACATTCCAAAGAACAACATCACAAATAGTGATTTTTAGGAGTAGAGTATAAAAAACTGTCATTTCGGAACAAACAAAAAACAAAGTAAAAAGTGACACCTGTTTACAATGACCGAAATTTAAAAACACTAAAAATACCAAGTGTTAGGATGTGGAAGAAATAGAACTTTCATATTCTGTTGATGGGAATGTAAAATGCTACCACTACTGTGGAAAACTGGAAGTTTCTTTACAAAGTCAACATACACCTAATATATGATCCAGCCATCCACTCAAAGGTATTTACCCAAGAGAAATGAAAATATATGTCTACACAAAATCTTATGCACAGATGTTTATAAGCAGTTTTATTTACAACATCCCCAAATTGGAAATAATCCAAATGTCTATCAACAAGTGAATAAAGATAATGAGATATATTCATATAATGGAATATATTACTAAGCAATAAAAAGGAATGAACTGCAATATAAGCTACATCATAGGTAAATCTGAAAAATCATCATTCTGGGTGAAAGAAGCCAGTCACAAAAATTTGTACTATATGACATTCCTTTTATAGAAATTCCACAAAATGCAATAAGGAATCATGGTTGTCTGGGAATAGAGTAGACAAGATTGGTTGTGATGAGGCATGAGAAAACTGTAGGAGTAATGGAAATTTTCTGTAGCTTGTTTAGTGGTGGTTCCATGGATATGCATCTGTCAAAACCTCCTCAAGGCCAGGCATGATGGCTCATACCATTACAATGCCAGCTTTTTGGGAGGCCAAGGTGGGAAGATTGCTTGAGGCCAGGAGTTTGAAACCAGCCTGGTAAGGCTGGTTTACAAGACTCTGTCTCTACAAAAAAATGAATAATTAGCTCAGTGAGGTGGTACATACCTATAGTCCCAGCTACTCAGTAGGCCGACGCCGAAGGATCTCTTGAGCCCAGGGTTTTGAGGTTGTAATGAGCTATGATCATACTACTGCTCTCCAGCTTAGGCAACAGAGTGAGTTCCTTTCTCTAAAAAAGAAAAAAACTCTCCTAAGGTTGTAAACTTTAAATGAATGTTATTTATTATACCTTCTGTGGTTGAAAACATAAAAATAAGTACATTTTTTACAAAGGTAAAAGGACTGCTTTGTGTAAAGATAAGAATACTTCCAAAAATAAGCCACTTTTATTTTTAGCATTTGAGCTTTTACAAAGGTTCCTTTGCTGAAAAATTCTACCTATTATCATTGTCTGTGGCTCATCTAGATGAAACATAGTAATTTCTGGCAAGTCACTGTAATGTTTTGAAATGAGAATATGGCTTTGAAGTTCCAAGTATTTTTGCAATATATTAACAGACAGATATTCAGGGACAAAGGATTAGAGGAAATCTTTCAGGAATCAATTGCCAATCTAAGACCATATGAATTTTTATTCACATATAAAGTTACCTTTATCTTCCCTGTCAGATCATGTTTATTACCATTTCTCTTAGAAAGATTAATAATAACATTAATATCAGATAATTTATAAAATTATAAAGTTAAAAAAATCTGCTTTAAAATATTTTAATCACCCATAATATGCCAAAATAAAAAAAAAAATATTTTAATCAATGTATAACACAGATAGATAGAACTTCTATTTGACTTCATTATGAAAATAGTATTTGCCATCTCAGGTTTTATGATATAGCCCAGTAAATTAGCTATGACATAGTTTTAAATATATTTGTACTCATTAAATGAAATTTCTGAAAAATATTTTGAGACTATACCCCCTGGCAGGTTCTAATGTTTTAGAAATTATACTTTAGTAGATAATTGTCACTTTTATTCACTTATATCTAAATTATCTTACTTCCTTGAGACCTTCTAGCTGTTTTTCTAGTAGGTTAACACTGACTCTACTCTGTGTAAACTCAAGGAGGAAAATCTGCTTGAATCTTTTGTACATTTAGGAATATTCTTTTAAGTCACTTTTTGTGTTTGAACAGGCCGAGATCAGTTCTATTCGAGAAAACAAGGACAGACTAAGCGATAGTACTACAGGTAAGATAAGGAAGCATCTGTTTTTGTTCCTTCGACCAAAGTTTACTTCATATTTATTTAGCAATGCAAAGGCCAAGCCAGGGGACTCTGTATAGGGTGGTCGAGAACCAGCACGCCAGCACGGGGCTGCCAGTAACGCACTGGCAGACTCTTTCTGTGCTGCAGGGGGCTTTGAATTGGCTTTTAAAGAGTCTCTGAGTTTAGACATAAAAAAAATACACCTCTGTTTTCATTTGTCCCTGACTAACTGTTAGCATTTCCTTCAATTATGAGTATAGCCAATAAATGCCAGTGGTATTAGCAGACCAGTGACTTTGTCACCAAGAGAATTCCTGTCACCTTACTACTATTGCAGATATCTTGAAATATTGTTTAAAATATCTTTCCTGAAAATTATGGCACGTATTAGACCTGCTGCTATATCTTGATATTTGGTGTGTTACAAAATAAGCTCTTAAATTACTATAGCCTGTATATTTGATGCATTCAAAAACATTATTTTGAGATGAGGTCCATAGGCTTCAGGCTGTCCGCTAACTGTACTTGTTGCAGCTGAGCAGCTAGTTACTTCATGAAGGGAGAACCAACCATGTACCTTCACAGCTGTCCTAATCTTTTCTACTTTGGATTTTAAGTAGACATATGCAAAAGGCAGAGTGTTAATGAAATCATATGCAATCATACTGTCTTCACCAAGATAGGGTTTAATTCATTCTATCTGTGAAGAGTACCTCCTAAGAGTTTACCTTCTAAGAACATAGTATGGTATCTTCAGAATCAATTTTACACATAGAAGAGATGATTTCAAAGGACCCTTTTTGGTCCAGGATTCAGTTTCTTAGTCTATTGTGCGTTCATATGTGTTTGGAGACTTTAATTTGCAGAATTTAGAAATGTTAAATTTTCTAATTCCTGGTAGAGATCAATGTTAATGTAACTGAACAAGTGTTACATTAGATACTCTTAAAACATTCCATTGTATCTTGAAAGTAAATTCTATTGCTTTGAATTGCTGTCATGTTCCCAATTCCCTGGTTCATTCCACACTAACCAGACTTCACGTGAGTGGGACTCAGAAAGCTGTGGCTTAGGCATCAGGCATCAGAACAGTGCCTTATTATCAGAAGCAAGCATTTCTACAAAGAAATACCATTTTGCATTCTTCCAAATTAAGATTAAAGTTTTCATCTCTGCATTCAATGGCTGTGAGAAAATAAAAAGCATAACGTAAGAGGTTTAGATCAGTGCTATTTACAGTGTGATCTGTAACCTATTGCATGTAATGAAGGAGTTTCTACCAGAAATTCACCCAGCTATGTCACAGCTAAACACCCTGTTTGGTCCAGCTGACATTTTTTCCATAGGAAGACTTTCTGGATGAAGGAAGCAGTACATTGCATTACATTGTGGACGAAGTTCTTTATGTTAATGAACACTTTGAGTAGCATTGCTTTAGATGCAATTTAACATGATAACCAGTAGGATGTCAAAAAGTTGAAGTTTATCAACTTTACTATAGGATTCAGAGAAGTGAAGATCATTTCACATCTTAGTGAATGCCTTCAGGTGGAGGCAAACTTTGACATGGGTCTTGAAGGATGCCCAAGAATTCTCTAGGCAGAGAGATACTGCAAGAGCAGTCTTGTTGAAAAATGAAAGAATCAGCCATGTATTGAGAATCTAGAGAGTATGGTGGTAACCATGAATCTGAGGGAAATGGAAATCAGGAAAGAAGTAGTGAGTCATAAACCTGACAAAGTAGATTGGGCACAGATCATAGAGGCTTGAATGCAGATAAAGGAATTTAGAGATTATTTTTAGAGGAAGAACAATTGAAGCACTTAAAACAAAGGAATGACCTAGTGAAAGTATGTTTTGGGAATTTTAGTCTGACATTGTCGTGCAGGCTACATTTTTACTGGGGAGAGGAGAGAGGCAGAGATTTGTCAGGAAGCTGTTTGCAGTTTCCAAGTAAGGTGAAAAAGTCTAAACTAGGGTAACGGTGGTGGGGATAAGAACCAGATTCTAGGGATATTTCTGAAAGGATTCATAGAATTGGGACTTATGAGGCACCATAAGGAGGAACCAGAAGCAACCGAGATGTGACACTTAAGTGAATGGAAAAAGTATGACCAAATTCATCGGTTTTCAGAATCAACATATATACACATGTATCAGTATTGTGCTAGGAATACCACAGTAAGGAAACCCTAGTACCTGAAAATTACAGTTTGTCCAGCTGCGGGGGAGGGGTTCTGTGGCCAGGACCAGGAAGAAGAACTGGATTAGGCTAGAATTTGAGTTTGTTAGAGGTTAGGGAAATAACAGCTTAATTTTTTTATATATATTATTTTAAATTGCCTTTCTCTTTTCCAAGGTGCTGATAGCTTATTGGATATAAGTTCTGAAGCTGACCAACAAGATCTTCTTGCCCTATTGCAAGCAAAAGTTGCTTCCCTTACCTTACACAATAAGGAATTACAAGATAAATTACAAGTAGGTAAATAAATTGCTACCATAGACTATTCAGTAGAGTCAAGCTATTGTTATTTCAGGAGTAGTCAGATTGTATTTTGTTCTAAATACCTACATTAGTTTCTTATTGTTTAATTAAATGTAGTTATCTTTAAGCATATTATAGTTTCAAATCATTTGTTTCTTGAAAGTGTTATTCATTAACCCTATTTTTATAAATTGGCAAATTGTATATAATTGATATACATATGATACATATGCTATGACAGTTATATATATTTTTATAAAATGTAGATGTATAAATAAAATATATAAACACTATCTTAATAAAATTTACATATAAATATATATAATTATATGACAGTTTTATGTATGTATAAAATTTTATATATACACCAAAATATTATATTTTAAATTATATATATAAAATATTAGCTATTCATTTAGTAAAGTTGGTCATGTGGCATATTTTAGAACTTGATAAGAAATATCTATAATATGCTCATTGCACCTATTGGCAAGTAGAATGGTATTAGAAACAAAAGAAAAATCTGAATCAGAGGTTTTACAGACAAAAAAATTCTGGTGTTTTGAAAGTGACACATCATCTGTCCTAATAGCGTACAGAGTAAGTTTTGTATCATTAGTCTGACTCTCATGTCCCAGGACATGTGTTTTTTTATGACACGACAGTTACACATGCAAAATGGTCATCCTGTTTCTCCCACACTTTTGGATTTGTTGCTCTCACTCCAGTTGCCTGTTCACTTAGCCACACCTTTGGTGCCATTTAATCCTTGCTTTTTTTCCTAGGCCAAGTCACCCAAGGAGGCAGAAGCAGACTTAAGCTTTGACTCTTACCATTCCACCCAAACCAACTTGGCCCCATCCCTGGGCAAACCTGGTGAAACCTCTCCCCCAGATGCCAAATCATCTCTATCTGTCTTAACACATTCCATAGATAAATCCACTGTTGACAGCGACGTCAGAATTCAGCAACTACAAGAGATTTTGCAAGACTTGCAGAAGAGATTAGAGAGTTCTGAAGCAGAAAGAAAACAGCTACAGGCTGAACTCCAGTCCCGAAGGACGGAACTGGTATGCTTAAACAACACAGAGATGTCAGAGAACGGCTCTGACCTCAGCCAGAAACTTAAGGAAACCCAGAGCAAGTATGAGGAGGCCATGAAAGAAGTCCTGAGTGTACAGAAGCAGATGAAACTGGGTCTCGTCTCGCCTGAGAGCGTGGATAGTTACTCACATCTCCATGAGCTGAGGGTCTCTGAGGAGGAAATAGACGTGCTAAAGCAGGATCTGCAGAAGGCATTAGAAGAAAGTGAAAGAAATAAAGAGAAAGTGAGAAAGTTAGAGGAAAAACTTACAGAGAGGGAGAAAGATACAGCGATTAAGCCACCTGCAGAGGAATATGAGGAAATGAAAAGTTCATACTGCTCTGTTATTGAGAATATGAATAAGGAGAAAGCATTTTTGTTTGAGAAATACCAAGAAGCCCAAGAAGAAATCATAAAATTAAAAGACACACTAAATAGTCAGGTGACACAGGAAGCCAGTGATGAAGCTGAGGACATGAAAGAAGCCATGAATAGGATGATAGATGAACTCAATAAACAGGTGAGTGAGCTATCACAGCTGTACAAGGAAGCCCAGGCTGAGCTGGAAGATTACAGGAAGAGGAAATCTTTAGAGGATGTAACAACCGAATACATCCATAAGGCAGAGCATGAAAAATTGATGCAAGTGACAAACGTGTCCAGGGCTAAAGCAGAAGACGCACTGTCTGAAATGAAGTCTCAGTATTCAAAAGTGTTGAATGAATTGACCCAGCTGAAACAACTGGTAGATGCACAGAAAGAGAACTCTGTCTCTATCACAGAACATTTGCAAGTGATAACCACACTGCGAACTACTGCAAAAGAGATGGAACAAAAAATAAGCAGCCTTAAAGAGCACCTTGCAAGCAAGGAAGTAGAAGTGGCAAAGCTGGAAACACAACTCCTAGAAGAGAAAGCTGCTATGACAGATGCGATGGTACCCAGGGCTTCCTATGAAAAGCTCCAGGCATCCTTAGAGAATGAAGTGAGTGTGTTGGCGTCGAAGTTAAAGGATTCCGTGAAAGAGAAAGAAAAGGTCCATTCAGAGGTTGCCCAGATTCGAAGTGAGGTCTCACAGGTAAAAAGAGAAAAGGAAAGTATTCAGACTCTCTTGAAATCCAAAGAGCAAGAAGTAAATGAACTTCTGCAAAAATTCCAGCAAGCTCAGGATGAACTTGCAGAAATGAAAAGATATTCTGAGAGCTCTTCTAAACTGGAGGAGGATAAAGATAAAAAGGTTGGTGAAATTCTATTACTGTTGGGTTTGTAGCAATAAGTCCTCAGCCCTTGGACCTTTTCTGTATTAAACATTTATAGTATTTGTTGGCGCTAACCTGTTGTGAATACTCAGAGGCTCTGCTTGTGACCATATTTGTCCCCACAGTCACATTAATAAGAATTTATTGGATATTTATATTTTTAAAAAATTGGTCTTCTGCCACTTCTCCTTACACTAAAGCATTTTCACACACTTGTCCTTTAAAAGTCATTTTAGAGAAGTTCTGCTGCCAGCGTCAGGGATCAGCAGTGAATCTGCAAACTGAAAAGTGTTTGTGGTCCCACTCAAACTTCAACTGAATCCAGAACAGATTCCTCTACTGTATGGAAACTCAGACTCCAAAGCTTAATCCTGCTTCCCTAAACTCCAAGAGTTTCCTCACGTCTCTCAATTCAGTATAAAGACTACCCTTCCTGGCCCCTGTTCTCAAAGATATATAGGAGGGGGGGTGGAATGTAGGGGCAGGCAATTGGAGATGGAGATGGTGCTGGATGTGGCTGGAGGAAGGAGGGAAGCAAAGGAAAGTTCTGGATGGTTTCCTGTGTCAGAGGTTCTGAATGGCATTGATTAGAGTGCTATTCTTTTGTAATGAATGTTTCAAAAAGAGTGTGAAAAGCCTGTAAGGGGATGAGGAGTTAGGGAGTGGTAGGATGAGGTGTGGGGTTGTGTTCACTTCTAAGCTAGGTGTCCAGAGATACCAGGCTTCCTAAGACTCATTCCTGATTGCCCATGTCAGCAATGTTGGACAAGACATAGCCGTCTGCAAATGAAGAATGCCTGAAATCCTATTTCTGATTAATTTTTTCAACTGCACTCCTTTTAAGAGTAAAAGAAGGAAATCAACATCACAGCTTTAGTTTCCCTCAGGCACCAAAACACAATTTGTAATTCAGGGGCCTTTGTTAGAACATAATGGGAGGGCTTTGTTGGTTTGCCTGATTTTGTTACCTGTTTCATTTTATGAGTTTTCTTTTAGAAATGAAAGAATTATTCCAAAGTGTCAAGTCCCAGAGGCCAAAAGAGATGACTATGTTCAAGGCTTAGAAATATCTAACATTTTGCTTCCGTACAGATTACTGCCTATTGATATAGTTTTCCTTTGTCGCTAGATAAATGAGATGTCGAAGGAAGTCATCAAATTGAAGGAGGCCCTGAACAGCCTCTCGCAGCTCTCCTACTCAACAAGCTCGTCCAAAAGACAGAGTCAGCAGCTGGAAGCGCTGCAGCAGCAGGTCAAGCAGCTCCAGCACCAGCTGGCCGTGAGTGGGCGCGTTTTCCCCTGCCTGGTTTGGGGTGGAGGGCGAGGCAGGTCACATACAGCTCAGCTGTCAGGGCGAGCTGGTGTGAGCAAAAAGATTCCCAGCCAAAGGAATGTTGTACTTCAGTGAGCAATTGACTGGACACTTTTTCAGTGAGGGCAAAAGAGGGAACCGCTGGTGGAATTCCCAGTCTGTGCAGGGAAGTGGCTTAGACGTGTAGCTAAGAAGAGAGGGATTGCTTATGCGCTCGTCCACTGACTTTCCACCCCTTCTCCTTTGTCTGCAACAGGCGTTCCCCACCTCTGGGAGTGGCTAGAGCCTTTTCTTACTAGGGGCCAGGATCTACATGTTTGAAGCTGCTTCTTGGTCCCTCTGCATATTTCACCCAGGAAAACCCTTTCATAGCTGAATTAGTTTCCTGATGTAACAGATCACCACAAACTTGGTTTAAAACAACATGAATTTGTTATTTTATGATCTGAAGATCAGAAGCTCGAAATCAGGTTCACCTGACTAACCTCCAGGCATGGGCAGGGCTGGTTCCTTCGCCAGGTTCTAGGGGAGAATCCATTTCCTTGCCTTTGCCAGCTTCCAGAGGCTGCCTGGGTTCCCCTGGCTCATGGCCCCTTCCTCCTCCTTCAGAGCACATCACTTCACCTGCTGCATCTGTCTTCCTGTCTCCTTTTTCTGCCTTTGGCTTTCAGGCCTCCCTCTCATAAGGACCCTTGTGAATTCATCAAAAAGCCCACCTAGATAATCCACAATAATCTCTCTCTCCATCTCAAAATCCTTAATTACCTCTACAAGATCCCTTTTGTCATATAATGTAGCATTCAGTCGTTCTGGGCATTAGGATGTGGACATCTTCTGAGAGCCATTATTTGGCCTCCCACGAGATCTGTTAAGGTTTTAGCTATCATAGGTACATTATATTTTCCACGTGAAGTTGAGGGTTAGGCAGTCCTGGACAATCTGTGGCTTCCGTATACAAACAACATGGATTTGATGATTTCTTCAGTATAGACTGAACACTAGTGAATTCAGGTGTCTACAGTGCTTACTTTGGCTGCCACAAAGTACAATACTGACTTTTTGGAGTTAACAGCTCTAGTAGTGGTGGAATCGGGGAAAAAGAAGATGCTCCTTGCTGTGTTCTATAGGTCATTCTTCTCCTGATAAAATGACTATTACATACTTGTAGATAAAGGGCTAATGGTTTACATAGTAATTCTTATTCAGTATGTGTTTTTTGAGTTCCTAGTACATATCAGTATTGTACATGGTGCCCCTGGTATAAAAGTAGGACATAGTCCCTGCCCCGAATACTGTGGGCATCTACAGGAAATGTTTCTGCCCAATCTGATGAGTCATTAAAAGCTCCCTACAGGAGGTGATGCTTATGCTGAGTCTAGAAGGGATGAGTGAGAACTCTTCCTTACTTAGCAAGGGCTGAGATGTGGCACTAGCTGGCCCTTGGTAACCTTGGGGAGAGCCACTCCAGTGGAATGGGGGTAGAATCTGGACTGCAGTGGGCTGGCTGCTAGAGAAGTGAGTGAGTAGATGGATAACTGGTGGGGCTGAAGAATTACAGCAGGGGGCAGGGGAAGCCTAAATCAGGTTTGCTGGAAAGATAGGAGATGGTGGTCAGAGGGTGGGATGCTATCAGTGGAGATTTCAGAGGCAGTAATGAGAGGGGTAGGGCTGTGACCATGGCTGAAAAGAAGAGGAACAAGTCATCAAAGCTGAGGTCAAGGAGTGGAGAGGCCCAGGTGTTAAGTGGGTCACGCATGCAGATATTAAAGACAACCAAGTGATGAGAGAAGCAGGGATGGAAAAGAAGACAGTTATCAGAAGATAAAGTCATAAATAATCAAGGGGGGGTAACTGAAAGGCAGGGAGGGAACAACACAAATAGAGGGACCAAGTGTACCTTCTTATGGCATGAACTTCAAAGGACTGAGGTTTCAAAGGATGTCATTTAATCAGAAAGATACTCATATTCTAACACTGAGAGGAAGGAAAGGACAATGGGTATTGATGGACTTTTGTAGATTTTTAAAATTTATAGTCTCAATTTTCACAATGAAGTAGGAGGAAAGGCTCATGCCTTTCAGAACTAAGATCCTTGAAACAGCTTGAGGCCAGGAGTTTGTGACCAACCTGGGCAACAGCGAGAGCCTATCTCTACAAGAAGTAGAGAAATTAGCCAGGTGTGGTAGCACTTGCCTATAGTCCCAGCTACTTGGAAGGTCTGAAGGACCGCTTGAACCCAGGAGTTTGAAGCTGCAGTGAGCTATGATGATGCCACCCACTGCACTCCAGCCTGGGCAACAGAGTGAGACCCTGTCTCAAAAAGATAAAAAAAGAAAAGAAAAGAAAAAAGATCTTTGAAACAGTCACTGAGAGGATTGGAGAATAGTTCAACAAGGAGAAATAAAAGTATCAACAGCTATACTGAAGAACCATTTGTGATTCATTTTGGCCACCCCCTTGTTTGCCTTCTCTGTACCCTGATAGCTAAATAAAATTGAGCTCCCTGGGAATGATATAACACTGGCCATATAGTGAGTAATCCATAATTCCCTTAAGGGACTATACTTTTAAAATTAAATTAATACATATTTGGTCATTATACAAAAGTTGAAAAAATACAGAAAACTGTAAAAAGTTCCCATACATTGAAATTGCCCATAATTCAACAACTCTGAGATAATCACTTTTTGCATTTGATACATTTCCTTGCAGTATTTACTTTAACTGAATATGTCTGTATTTGCCTAAGTACATGCGCATATATTTTTAAAATAAACTTGGGATTATAAGGACTCATTTTTACATGACTTTTCTTCTAGATTTGATATACCAAGATGATTGGTATATCAAAGTAGGTAGATGTTTTTTCTCTAAGAATACTGACAAGTATTTAGAAATACACAAGCCAATGAGCCCAGAGTAATTTTACAAGCTTCGTATGCTAGCATATAGTAGAGGGTATCACTTGGGTAGCATTTGATTACAATTTTTTAGTTTTTTGTTTTTTTCTTTAAAGATCTCCCAAGCTTGTTAATAATTCAAATTTTCTCTTCCTAGGAATGCAAGAAACAACACCAGGAGGTGGTATCAGTTTACAGAATGCATCTTCTGTATGCTGTGCAGGTATGATAATGCCCCTTGAAGATTCTGGACATCCTAAGAAAATGTAGCAGCAGATGTTGCCAAAACTCATTAAACTAGTAGAACAAACAAAAATTAGAGGAGAATCCTTTTTACTGGAAAGCCTGAAAATGCCTTTTGTTTTGCTTTGGCTTTTGTGTCCAGAGCTTTGTGCTTTGTTGACTGAGAGCAGGCTCACCATTCATGGAGAAATGAAGGGCAATGTGGCTGCTCTTGGCTATCAGGAGGACCCTGCTTTTCCTTTCCAGGCATGCTGATGTTCTCAGAGCTGTCAGCACTGCCTTAGCTTGGCAATTGTTGGGGTTCTGGCTCACATTTGCAACTGAGACCCCACATAGCCTTGGCTGAGGGTTTTGGTAGATGCCTGGGGTCTTATCCTCCAGGTGGATAGGGGCAGGGCCCTCACAGTGAGTCAGTTCCTCACAGAAATGTGGGACGTGATAGGGCTGATGTTCTTCTGAAAGATGGGGGAGTAAGCCAAGGGCTTCCTGCCAACCAGCCATCTCATTCCTCAGCAGAGAAAGTGCCATGACTTCATTAAGGTTCTTACGGGTCTCTTTTGTTCAAATTTCTTAGGGCCAGATGGATGAAGATGTTCAGAAAGTACTGAAGCAAATCCTTACCATGTGTAAAAACCAGTCTCAAAAGAAGTAAAGTGGATTCCTTGGCAGGACACTGCCCCCTTGTCGTCCATCTTGTGTTAGATCCAGAGTTGTTGGCAACCACTGCCGTTGTTCTCATTTGTGGTATGCACTGTGGCCTAGCATAGCTTCTTCCCTTTCCAAAGTTTTCTGAGGACTCGTCCCAGGAGAAGACTGCCCTCCTCAGAACTGCTTACACTTCAAACCAGCAGAGGTGAAGGTTCCTGTCAACCCTTCAGGCTCTAGGGCTGGGATCAGCCACATCCAAAGGTCTGGTCCTGATGGGGCAGGTGGGCACCCTTCTCGGTACCTGACCAGCTGAGTTGAGTGACTCCATCACCACTGAGTGACATGCTGAAGTCTCCACACAGTGAAAGCTGTTTCCATTCCTGCCCTCGCGCTGTGCCAGTCAGCATGGGAGAGCTCTTTTTGCCTTTGGCTTCCAATCCCAAAAACATGATTTACTTTCTAACCAAATTAGTATGGCATTAGTTATGAAGCACATGCTTAAGACCCTTTATCATGGTATCCTGTGGATTTAAAAACTCCAATTCCATCTTTTTCCCTCATCTGCCTTATATATCTCATCACCCTGCTTATCAACCTCATACTTTGATGAGCACTGTTAACTAAAACATGAAGTTTAAAAACAAAAGCAAATTGTCCTTAGAAGCTTTTTTAATTAAATCGTTGACATATTGCAAATTTTCTATGCAAACTTGGCTCCTGCTGTTATCCATGAAACTCAGGAAATCCAATTTGTGTTTCAACAAGGGACAGTAAACTGTATGTTTACAGCCAAAAGAAATGCCTCGTAGTTCCTAACCTCAATTTTTTTAAACTGTTTTTTTCTCTATAATATTTTTATTGGCTCTTAAAGATGTTTTCATATCTAAACCCCTAAATAAGTAAAATTACATTAGATTATATTAACAAAATATTTTTTAGGTAACCATGCTTAAGACTTTTTAAAAATATAACTTTTTCCTCGAAGTTTTCAACTATAGCAAAAAGTAGTTAGGTATTCCAGACTTGATATGAGCTGCCACCAATACCCCTAGGACTTTCTGCCATTGTGTCTTCAAAACTGTAGTGCATTTCTGAATATAGTAAATCTTCTTTCTACCCGTTGAATATTTTTTAATGTCCTGACTACCAGCACCCATAAATGATCTCTGAAAGGACTATTAGTACCAATAAATTTTTTGACTTTGAAACTAACGTCAATATGGTAATGTGGTACATAGGTCTTGGGGAGAAATATTTGTGTTCGCTTTATTTTCAGGTTAAAAATGTTCCTACCTTGTTTGCATCTTCCCTTATGGCATTGATCTTGTTGAGGGAGATAAACAGTATATAGAATTCTCCAAAGTATTTAACTAAAAATGTAGGGCCTGCTTTGAAGGGCCCACATACTGCAAGGCTGTTTGGGCTCAGGGGGTGCTTGGCTGTACTGGATGTTATGTTAATCTGTATTGGATAAGGACCAACGACAGCAAAGTAAAAATGGCTTTAAAGCTTGGTGTTACTTAAGTTGTTTAATTGTAGTTAAGCAATTTCAAAAATGCTCCAAAGAAATGTGAAAGGACTTTTTGTCACAGCACTTAAGAAAATACAAAATAATCCCCCTCTGGCCACCGCACAGAAATGCTGCAGAGTATAAAACTTGAGACATTTTGTAGGATGCCTGAAAAAGTGTAGCCTTTGATCTTGTTTCAGGATGCATATTTATTACAAGTACTCTGGTTAAATATTGAAAACTTATATGCTGTAGTTTAGTATTTTGTCTTTGTAATTTACAGAAGTTATTGCAGAAAAATAAACTTGTTTCATTTTGCATCTCCAGTATTTTGGTGTATTTATAAGCATATCTATGTGGCTCCTGAAGATCAGTTTAATAGCATTTCATTTGATGATTTTTATTACTATATCCTGAGTTATGCTTAACCGGTGCAAGTTGTCTACACTATCTCAACACAAAGTCTCACCTCATTTTTATTTCTCAGCCCTTCAGTTCACCCTGAGCTCTGCCCTGGATAAACCCAAACCAGCCTTCTTAGATGAAAGAAATACCTCATAAACCAAAATCAGGGTATGAAAGGAAACCCTCATATCTTAGTTATTAGAATATCAGGCTATAACTGTAGGACAAGTGAAAGAAACAAAAAATAAATCTCTCTCTTACTCCCAATCACTAGTTCACCTACCCAGAAACAACAGCTATTAAGTATCTTGGGTGACCTAAGACATTCTATATATACATGTAGGTATGTATTTTACTTTCCACTTTACATATCTTGGAGATTGATCTGTTAGCACACACATCTCGTTCTTTTTAACTGCTGAATAATATTTCACAGTATGATTGTGCTATATTTTAGTAGTTCCTTATTGATAGACATTTTATCCATTTCTAATATTTTATAGCTACAAAAATGATGCAATGACTGTCCTACGTATAAATGTGATTACTCACATATGTGAGGATTCTTTGGATAATTTTCAAATTGCCTGTTTTCACATGAGCTTTCATCATGATATGGTACAGAGAAAAAAAGAGTAGAATATTGTACGTATCATCACATTGAATTAGAAAGAATGGACTGTTACATTGGTTGACTAAGAGTCATCAATTTGTTTTCCTTACATAAACTTTGTTAAGACACTCCAAAGCCTTCAATAATTAAACCCACCCATCTTAAGATAAACACATGATATATTGTGTGGGGAAAATGATCCCAGCACATATTGAAGCACAACCTTTTGCAACGTGGTATAATTGTGGAATGTTGGGTGCTGACAGCAGCAGGAACACCATCCAGCAAAGATGGGTGGGGTGGGGGCCGCTGATGTTTTTTTGAGCAAAGTTAAAAGGCAGACTGCAAGACAAAGAACGGGAAAAGGCAACATACCAAGGAAAAAAGGGCATTCACAAGAGTAGCAATCTCTGTTCACCGGTTCAGGGCTGAGGCCCGTCAGGCCTTATGGAGCAATGTGGCATATTTGAGAAACAAAAAAATGAGCTCAACTCTGACGGTCACCATAAGTAGGCCATAGGAGCCGGCTGAGGGAACAAGGTATGAGTTCCAGCAGATGGAAAGGCTTCCCTTGAGAGTAAAGCCTCAAAAGGTGGAGTTGAGTAGGAGGGAAGAAATGAGATATTCCTGCATATTTATTACAAACCAGGCCCTAAAATGGGAAGAACCAGCATATTCAAGAACCACGACTGGATGTGCCAGATTATAAAATGAGGGTGTGTAGGGGAGAGAAAGCAGCAGGACACAGTCAAATGTTGTAAGCATCTAACAGCCAGGAGAAGAGATAGGTAGTAAGAGCTCCTATATGTCACCTGTGTGTGTTTAAAACCACGCGTTTAAGTCATGTTAAACACACTCTGATGGGCAGAATAAGTCTTCCCAAAGGCATCCATGTCCTAATCCCCAGACCCTGTGAATATAGTAGATGTGAATCTAACCTGTGGATAATTACATGACAAGAGAATGGAGGAAATAGGATTGCAGTTAAAATTAAGGTTGCCAATCAGCTGACCTCACAATAAGATTATTCTGGATTATCTAGGTGGGCCCAGTGTAACAAGAGGGGGCCCTTGAAGATGGAAAAAGAGGTCACAAATCAAGAAATGCAGGCCAGCTCTAGAAGCCGGAAAAGGTAAGAAAACAGATTTTCCCTTAGAGTTCTCAAAAGGTACCACCCTTGCACACATATTGTCTTTAACCCAGTGATACCCATTTCAGACTTCTGACCTCCAGAATTATATAATAATAAATTTGTGGTGTGTTGTTACAATAGGAAACTGATACAGGGAGGGTAGAACCTCTCACTAAGATTCTCACTGAGTACCCAAAGATGATTCATCATTTATTAAATGTTATTGAACAGTGATGATGTGCCAGGCACTCATGCCAAAGGCTCAATGGTAATAACAGCTCGTGCTCAGAAGGAGCTCATAGCTAATCAAACAGGGCCTGTCACCTAGCGGTAGTCAGATGGACAGATTGGCTATAAGGCCCTCTATAACTTGATGGCCTGTACCTTAACTGACCAGTCTCCTCTCTCCTCCTGATTCTTATTGCCCTTTTGCTATTCCTTGACCCTGTTAAGCTTGCTCCTACCTCAGTGCCTTTGCATTTGCTGTTAACATCTTAGGATGTTCTCCTAGATATTTGTATGATTTGCTCCCTCATTTCCTTGAGGTCTCTGCTCAATGCCATCTCGTCAGAGAGGCCTTCCTTAACTATACTATGTAAGATAGCACACTCCTCCCCACATGACTACATCACTTGAGCTCATACCTGGCTTTATTTTTCCACATATCATTTATCACTTCCTTGTAAGGTGGCTCACCTGGAGAGAGTGAGTCCTGAAATCCAGCCCACTCTGTTCCCAAAGTTGTACTCTTCAGGGACCTGAGTCTGGCTGGAGGAAGAGACTTTTTCTGAATTCACACAGCACTGCTGCCTATTTCCTAAGCTATGTGCCTTTTTCTAACTTGCAGAGTTCCATATTGTTTGCTAGCAGTTCTATGTTCTTCTTTACCTAGTAGAATATAAATTCCAGGAGAGCAAAATCTTTCTCTGATTGTTCACCTTTGCTTCCTTAAAGCTTAGAACGTTATCTGTATGAATGCATAGTAGGTATTCAATAGATATTTTTGTCTGTGTGGATGGATAGATGTATGGAGAGCATGAGAAACACAAATGAACAGAAACTCGCCAATACAGCATGGTGAGAGTCATGATGAGATTGTAGACAGGATATTATTGGAGCTCAGAAATAAGGTATCAACCGTGTCTTGAGAGGCCATACAATGTGTTCCAAGAGAGAGTTTATTTGCATTTCCTTTTTCTTAAATTTCACAGTTCCTGGGGTTGGAATAGTTTGGAGATAATCATATTTGATTTACGGTTGTGAGAGTGTAGGAGTACCCTTTACACATGCTTGCTTTATGAGATTTCTGCAATAGCAATATTTGCTTCTTCTACTTCAAAATCAAGGGAGGGAATGTGAATGAATGTTGTAAAAGCACTATCCAGATGAGTGGCATTCCTTTCTCGTATTAATGAACACACCTAAAAACACATATATTACAACCAAAGTTTGCATTTGGAGGAAAGGGTTTAGATGGCAATGGAAGAAAAAGTATCACAGAGGTTTGGAACTTTAAGAGTCTTCAAAATTCTTTTAGTTCGCCCAAACATAATTTATTCTTTAAGCATAGGGTGATGACTTAACTCCTCCTTGGCATGGCCTTAGGTCTTGTTTTTAATTTGGTATCTTGCCACATAGTCCATTTGTCTTATGAGATCTATTTCAACATTAATTAATGCTGGTCAGTTGTGTCTAAATCACAAAAGAGGGAAGAAGTTTGCCTGACCTCCCATAAGATCAGGAACTCAGTCCCCTTGGTTTAAGAGGGGAGACTATTCAGGAGTTGGGGGGTTAGGATTTTGTTTTTATTTCTAACCACAGTATTTCCAGCCAATGAAGGGGTATAAGAATGTATGGGTGTATAATTTAGGGCCATGTGCCAAATGTACTCCCACCTCGAAAATATTCTCTGAACTGCTAAGCATTAGCAGATCTAGTAGTCCATTTCTTACCCTATCCACTCTCTGCAATCCGCTTTCCTAACCATGCCTAGCTCCAATCTTACAGGGAGAGGAAACACGACGGTGCCAGCACCGTCAACAGCTCTATCTGCGCCTTTCCTCTGGGGTCCAGGGAACCAGAACTCCCGAGGACCTGCGGGGCTGTTGGGTGCTGGCCGGAAAGTGTGGGGGTGGGGGTGGGTGGCCTGGGCTGCAGCTGATACGGCCCGCGCACCTGGCAGCTTTAAACCAGTAGGGTCGCGGAACCCGCAACTCCCTTCCTTCCTTCCTTCCACGGGATTTATCGTCTCTTCCTGCGTCTTCACCTCCGACAAGGAAGGTCCTCTGAGATACATCATTAGTGGACGACTCAGTGCAGCAGAGCCAGGTTTGGGCACGAGCCCGAGTTCGCCCGCATCAGCCCCGCGGGGACCAGAAAGCGGAGGGTGAGGTGGGAACCACCGCCGGCCCTCAGGTCTGGATTCCCCGGGCCGGAAGTGCCCCTTGTCGCCATGGCTACGGGTCCTCCCAGCGAACCCGCGGCGTTCCGTTCCCATGGCAACCGTATTGTCTCTCGGGCTGGAACCTGGGCCCCGAACGCTAAATGCTGAGCTCTCAGGCCGTCTAGCTTTAGCGAGGCACGGTTTGGTGCCGGGACCGAGGTCGGCTAGGGCCAGCGCAGACGCCGCGCGAGGAAGCCGGGAAGGCTGCTTCCGGGGCGTGGCTTCTCAGCCCTTGCCAGGTAGGCCGCCCTGGCCCGCCCGGCAGCTGCCCTTGCTGGCAGAGCCGGCCGGAACCTTGGCGGCGGCGGGTGTATGGCCGCGGGGAGGTCGCCTCGGGAAGCTCCGCGCGGAGCTCGGCATGTGGCCTCAGGGTTTACCAGGTTACCACGCAACAACTGCAGAAAAGGAGGAAGCGCCTTGTACTTGAGAGAGGGCCAAAGTTTGGTGTTCAGGGCTGTGTGGAATCTCATAGGAACAGGGTTCAGGGGGTTGGGATGTCAGAACTCCTTACTCTGGCCATAGTTTTGAAAGTAGAGATTAGACGGAGAAATCAGTGAATCTTCTCTTCTGATTTTCGGATAGTATATGTTCTAGATCCTGGGTCAGAGAAGGCTACTCAGGGCTGGGTGGGAATGAGTGACATTCTGTAGGTGGGTAAGTAATTGCATTCGATTTGGATTTGATTTAAGCGACAGGTGATAGCCTTGAGAGTTGAATTACAAATATTGTAATTATAAATCACATTTTTCGTTATGAGGTCCAAACCATTTCTTCCATCAGCTGGTAGCAGCAACCAAAATAGACATGAGTTTTAGCTCCTTTACTAGAACCACCTATTAAATAGTGAAATGGCCCCAGGGATAAGGAGGAAAATAAACCAATACACTGGCTGCACTTCATTTATTACTGAGAGCTGGTTGCTGTGTTTAGATCCATCTTTCCCTCAGACCTACAAAAACAGTATCTGAGTTGAGTTTAGTTGACCGTAGTTTTGATGATTCCGGAGATGTAAATGTGCTGGTTTTGAAAGGTAAATAAGTCCAGGGAGGAGTAACATGGAATAGAAATCAGGGGAAAGAAATTTAACTTAGACATTTAATTTGACAAATGTCTTTAATTTCTGCTTTCCAGGGATCTCCACACATGAATGTGCGTAGTCCATTTGTGGATTTAGGATAGGTTATATATTTGAGCAGTTTCAGTTTAATGTCAATAGCATCCAAGAGAGGGAAAACAGAATAAACTAAGCCTTTTCTCCCAAAGCTGACCTCACATATGATTCTTAGTAGGAAGAAGATGCAAGCCAACCCCATTCGTATCCCATCTGTTAGCAATGACATCGACTGGGACTTCTGCTTCCATCTGTAAGTACCACAGAACTCTGACCTTATACTTACTGGCTTGAAAGGCTGGGCCCTCTTGCTTCAGGCAAACCTGGGTGAGAAGCTTTGCACACACATTATACAGAAGAGAAGGCTGAGCTTCTGTGATGTGTTTTAATAATGATTCTGCTATAATGTCTATTGTATGTACAACCTATACAAGTGGGAAATAATTTTTTCCTAGCTTAAGAAAATGTTTAAGTTTTTAAAAATAGAGATAGAACAAAATTAGTAAAGTCATAGAGAATTAACTATAACTAAGTTAATGAACAATTTAAGTTTTATGAAATAAAGCAGCTAGGCAGGGTGGCTCACACTTGAATCCCAGCACTTTAGAGGTCCAGGCGGGAGGATCACTTAAGGCCAAGAGTTCAAGACCAATCTGGGCAACATAGCAAGACCTGTCTCTACCAAAAAAAAAAAAAAGAGGCAATGACTAAATAAAACTTTTTACATCATAATAGCTTATACTTATTGAGCACATATTATTTGCCAGGCACGGTTCTAAGCATATTACACATATTAACTGATTTAATTTTCCCAAAAGCCCTGTGAGGGAGATACTGTTACTACAGCATTTTATAGGTGAATATGAATCAAAGAGAGGTCAGACAATTTGCCCAAAGTCATACAGCTAGTAAGTGATATTCAAATTGGGTATTCTGACTCCAGAGTCCATTCTTTAACCATTCTGTATACCAGAGTTTCTTAACCTCTGTACCATTGACATTTTGGGTTGGCTAACTCTTTGTTGTGGAGGGCTGTCATAGGGATTGTAGGATGTTTAGTGGCATCTCTGGCCTTTACCCACTAGATGCCAATAGCCCTGCCCCAGTTGTGACAAGCAAAAATATCTCCATTGCCAGGACTGAGAACCATTGCTCTAGACCAGTGCCCTTGAATAGAAATATAGTGTGAGTCACACATATAATTTTAAATTTTCTGGTAGCCATATTAAAAACAAAATGAGACATAAGAATTTAATTTTAATACTATATTTTATTTATCTCAATATATCCAAAATATTATTATATAAAATTATTAATGAAATATTTTTAAATTATTTTTTTATACTAAGTCTTTGAAATCCACCATATAGTTTACATTTACAACACATCTCAATTCAGACTAGCCACAATTTCTTGTGCTTGATAGCCACATGTGGCAATATGGATATTGCCATATTGGATAGCATAATTCTGTACTACTTCATAAAATATCCTGAGGTTAAGGGTTATATAACTATAAAAACTAGAGTTCAAAAAGTATAGAGTTCACAGTAGAATATCTTGGAAATAATCAGATAATTCATATTGAATATTACTTATCAGAATTCATATTTATGATGGCAACATTTGGAATAAGTTATAAGCCTAGGAAGGCAGACTCTTCGTTCAACTTGCCTATTCTTTTTATTTTGACTATCCTTTGAGGTATCTGACTGGTCCGCATTCTCTAGCCATCCTTCTTATCTTTTATTACAATGATGTTCAAAGCTAGTTCTGGGCTTTACATTCTCAGATCCTTGTCAAGACCTCAATGTTTCTCATTCTTTTGAGGTCCCTGCTATTGGAGCTTATTTCCTTTGTTCTTAGCTTAATTTCCTTCAAGGCTTACTTTAAAATATTTAGGGATTATAATTTTTAATATCCATAATTAGCAGTCTCTTTGGTGACCCCCAATAGATTTAACTTCTGCTCTAGGTCTGTGAAATAGGCAGCATATCAAAAATTTCTGTTGAGAGACTAAATTTTCCTTCATTAGTTTTCTTAAGTTCGCTTGCCACAGATTTCCTTTCTCCTCAGTATTTTTCAAACATTGTAAAGGTTTATTTTTTTATTCAATTGTTTATCATTTTACAAGCCACCATTTGTTTTTACTGTGGACCAGGTATCAGAGTTTCAGAAACAAATGAGGCTCAGCTTCTGCCCTACTGGAATTTATTTGCCAAAAGGCAAAGAAGACTCAGAAACAAAACAAAGGAACAAACAAAAAATCAGACAGTAATGTGATTCACACTGTAGTAGCAGTTTGGGGGAAATTTTTGCAAGCCCTTTGGAGGGTGTCTTTCTTGCTCCCCAGTGAGAGACTTCCAGCAGAGGTGACATCTGAGTTGTGTTTTGGAGGAAGAGTATGGAATTCACCAGGCAGAGAAGAGGCAAGTTTATCACCTGTCTTCCGATCACATCTCCAGCCTTCCCTGGCTTTTCCATTGAGTTAGTGTGTTTACTGACAGCATCCTTTCTTTGGGCAGAAGGCAATCCTTCCTGCACCTGATCCTGAAGAAAGTTGCTCTCCTATCTACATGTCTTAGTTTGTCTGCATTTCTCTTGTTAGGTTAGTGAGAACAGGACTGGATGGATTTTAGTATGTCATTTTTCAAACCTAGTGTAAAAGAGTACACCTGACATTTATTTTCTTTTCATGCTTTTCTGATTTTTTTTTGTTTTAAACAGTGAACATTCACTATTTAAGTAATCAGTGGAAAAGAAAGGTACATTTTTATTTTAAAAAATAAGCAGTGGCTGAACTTTTAAAAGATACTGTGTGTACAAGGATGATTCCTTTGGGAGACATACTTATAATCAATTAAAATTTCTATTCTTGCTCCTAAGATCTCAGAATTCTATTTCTTCTGGACAATTTTTTGTCTTATTGGTGATGTTAGAATATGGTTATCTCTTTTGTTGCATGAGATTAACTCTTTTGATCTTCACTATTCCAATTACTCATTTGCAATTAATTATGTTCAGCATTAAAGTCAGAGATCTTCTAGACTGTGTGAGTATAACAGAGATTTTCAATTTAGCTCTTTCTCACAATGTTTATTGCTAATGTAACAATGTTTATTTTGACATCTTAATGGCTGTTTCAGTGTTTGGTTTACCATTGCAAACTTATCTGAAGGTTTCAGGTTTCTCTTCCCCTGGAAGACACAATTTTGTCTCTCTAAAGAAAGGATATTTCTCTCTGAAACTGCACTTGACACAGTATTGGATTTTCTCCCTCTCCCTGGTGGAACCCCCATTTAGTTAGTTGGCTAATACATGTTGAAGCTTTTAACCATTTCTGTGTGAGTCGACTATAGTAGATAGCCACAGGTGAACACGCACAGACGAGCGTCAACTTTAGCCGACAGCCGTGATATGAAGGCACACAGCCCAGCATCGACTTTAGCTGACAGCTGTGATATGACTTTTCTAATTTTTCATTTATCAAAATAAAGTTGTGAACATTTAAAAATAACTTAATAAAAACATATATGATGCCGAAATAAAATATATATATATATGTATATGTTACCTATTCTGATTTACATTACAAGTAAAGCTGCCTGTAAAGTAAAACAGGCTTTAAAGCTTTCCTCATCACACAAGAGCAAAACGGATTCATCGTCAGTGCACAGCACAAACTACCATGCAGACTATGAGTGCTGGCTGTGGGCAAGGTTTCGTGGCCGGTGAGCACCGTACCGAATTGGTTAAGATATGTCAAAGAAGACATGCAAAGTCTAGCCTCAAAATGTTGGTCTTCTTTCCCTTATTTTTATGATATCCATTTTATTTTCTGGTTTGAATCAGAATATTAGAACATAAAGCCTCTTTGAGATCTTCCAGTTCAACACTCTCATTTTGTAGATGAAGAAACCATGTCATGGAGCTAATGATGATAGTAATAGCTAACATTAAAGGAGCACTTACTAAATGCCAGGCACTTACTAATTGCTATGTGACTTATGAGTATTATCTCAATCCCATAACCTCATCAGGTAGATATTCATATTTACTCCTCATATTACAGAGAAGTAAATTAATAACTTGCTTAGGGACATGTGGTTAGTAGGCAACAGAGCTGTAACTGTAATGCAGGTGGATGGTTTACCAAATCTGCTTAATTTGAACACCACATTACTGTCTTAGTACTTTGAGAGTGACGTGAGTTTATTACCTAGCTTTATTCCTTAAAATTTATTTTAGAAAGCAGGTTCCTTTTCCCTGGAGAGAGGGAAAAGTAGAGAGAGAGAGAGAGCTGTGTCCTTCACTTTTATCTTGCTTTAGATAGGCAAAGGTCATATCCTGTCTCTATGTCCTTCTTGTATCCACAGGTCACAACAAACCAAGATCCCAGCACATCAACAAACAGATGCGTTGTATTCCTCTGGTGGGTCTGGAGAGAGTGAAGAAGAAACTAAAGCCAAGGATGAGGAGTTGGCCATAGACTGTGTGTTTCTTCCCAAAGACAAATTAGCTCAATCCCAGAAGAAAATTGCTCAACTGATTAAGGAAAAAATGGTAAAACAAACAAAACACTAGGTTTCTGTTTCCATTAAAAAATACATCCATAATTAGAGAAGCTTTGCTTTAATTACAGATTGAAGCACATGAAGCACAGGAAGATGTTCTATTTCTTTGAAAGTGGATGGACAAAACAGAGCTGCCCACCTTCCAGTTCTACACATAGTTCACTGCCCATTCCTGTTTGGAGTATTTGTGCTTCTAGCTTTAAACTAAGAATTAATGTTTGGTTCTTCCTGTAGATGTTTGATTACCTTTAATTTAAAAAATTAGAAAAAAAAATTTCTCCTGATACCTCTCGGTTAACAAGAGGGCCAGGACAGTGAGGCAGGAGCTGAGAACAAGGGTAGCCAGGCAGGCAAGTCTAGGCTTAGGCCTGGCAAGGATATGGCTAGATGCCTGTGGTTACAGTGGAATAATAAGTAAACCAAGGGGCCAGAAACAGGAGGTAGCAGCAGAGGTCAAAGAGTCTGAGTATGCATTTCTTCTTAGTGCAAGTCAAGGACTTGGGAACTAGGATTTCAGAGCAAGTGGGTAAGCAAGAGTGTTCAAAATCCAGAAACCTGAGACAGCCATGACATCCACTTTCATTATTTGAACATAGGTACCAGTCTGCCTCCAGAACATGATTTATCAACAGAGGAGTTCATACCCTGATGTCCTGGCTATTCTTGGTTAAGGAAAAAAAAAAGATCTTAAAGTACACATATGAAAAAAGAGCTGCAGATGGCTTAGAAAGGGCTGAGAGGCACCTCAGAGGTAGATGATGTCTCTCTAGATGGATATCTATAAATTTATCTCTGTAAATTATCCAGAGAACTTTGCAAAGGACAGTCTTCCTGGTCTGGACCCACAAATCCAGGCTAGAAGGATTGTTTCTAGAAACAGACAAATACTATCTATCATGGGGTACAAATGTAAGTTTTTAAGGCTTGAAAATTCCCTTGCCAGTTTGGATAATGACAAAAATCTAGATCTTAGGATTTAAATCTAACTCAGCCCCTAAACTCATCAAATTGTAAACATTAAATATACACAGTTCTTTATATATCATTTATATCCCAAAAAAGTTGTTAAAAAGAAAATAAATCTAACCCAGCCCAGGCCTCACAGCCCTGAATGGTAGAGGGATGCCACCATCAGCAGCAGCAGTGCTGGGGTGACCTCTAGAGCCCATGTTGGTTGTCTCACTGTCTCCAGGGCAGGAAGTTTGGGGATGAATACGGAATGTCCAGAACCAGGACAGAACTCAAAGCTTTGGACTCCTATTCAACTGATTTTTCATGGTATTATGCTTCTTCCTCAAAATAGAAATTTGTATTTACTGTGGTCAGCCCATGGTGAACTCTCAAAATGCAGAATGAATGGATGTTTTTGAGCATCAGGGGAAATGCCCTCCTACCATTGCTTGCATCTGTATATTTGAGCAGGGAGCAGGTCAAGCATCAACTTATATAGGAGATAGGAGTCAGGAGGGAGTAGTCCCTAGACTCACCCAGGGCACTCCTGTACCTATACATCACTCTTTACATGGGCTGCACTTAGATAGCACTTAAGAAATTTGGATCTGTGGACAAATGACAAGCTTAAAAAAAATTTAGATCACTTTGATGCTGACTAATTTTTTTTCCTTACAATAACTATAAGGTAGATGGGTATAGATGTCCACATCTTAGAAAAGGAAGCTGAGATTAGGGTCATTTTCCCCAAAGCAACAGAATTAATAAACATTAGAACCAGGGCTGAAACTTCAGACTTTTGATTTCTTGAAGTGCTATTTTCACTTTACGAGGACATAAATAAATAAATGCCTGACTTTATCAACTGGTGAAGCCAATAAATGACTGTGTTTGTAAAGTCACTGAAATATATGACTTGAACATGCAATTCTGTGATTTCTTGGAGAGTTTTGTCTATCAGTTCTATAGGGGCAGAGAGGCTCTTTCCCCTACCTCTTCCTTATCTCCTTGCTAAGAGAGAGATGATTCATTCAGCAAATACCAAATACATGCCTCCTGTGTGCACTGGGCATGCAACAGTGAACATGAGGAATAAACTTCTGTTCATCAGAGACTTACCTTCTATTTGGGGAGATAGATAATAGATAACAAACAAAAAATAATAGCTAATACAGTATCAGATAGAAGTAAATGCCATAAAGAAAAAAATAAAATTGGTAATGGGATCCTGAGCAATGGAGTGAGAGACTATTTTAGATAAGGTAACCAAGAAAGGCCTGTCTGAAGTAAATAAAGTGAAAATAAAATGAGTGCATGAACTAGGTGGAATAATGTCCTAAATAGAAGATACAGCAGGTGCCCAGCCCAAAGTTAGTTGGCCATGTTCAGGAATAGCTGGGAAGTGCAGCTGTAGCAGAGGAGAAAAGGAGAGAAGGAGAGAGTGGTAGAAATTGAAATTAGGAGGTGATTAGGGTTAGGTCAGAGTTTGCAGTACCTTGGAGGCCACAATAAGGACTTTGGATTTCATTAAGAATAAAAAGTGGAAAGCTGGCCGGGCGCAGTGGCTCACACCTGTAATCCTAGCACTCTGGAAAGCTGAGGCGGGAGGATCGTTCAAGGTCAGGAGTTCAAAACCAGCCTGAGCAAGAGCAAGACCCCATCTCTGCTAAAAATAGAAATTATCTGGACAACTAAAAATATATATAGAAAAAATTAGCTGGGCATGGTGGCGCATGCCTGTAGTCCTAGCTACTTGGGAGGCTGAGGCAGGAGGATCACTTCAGCCCAGGAGTTTGAGGTTGCTGTGAGCTAGGCTGATGCCACGGCACTCACTCTAGCCCAGGCAACAGAGGCAGACTCTGTCTCAAAAAAAAAGTGGAAAGTTGTTGGAGGGTTTTTGAATAGGAAAGTTATGATCTGGTTTATATCTTAAAAATATTACACTGGCATATAAAATATGTTTAAAAATCTACAAGTTTATGAAAATTATAATAATGAACAAGCTATTTGGTCACCATTAGAGCATGTTAGTGAACAGACTCATAGTTTTGAAAGCTGGTAAAGAAAAGACAGACATACACCATGAATCCTGGCTTTCTAATGTGAACTGTACTATTGGGTAGCCAAAGAGAAGATGAGGGGAAATTTCTCTTTTATAGAATTATTTCAGCTAACATATGAAGAAGGAATATAGAATTCATGTATCAGCATTTTATAATCCTTTATGAATTGATTCATGTAGTTGTGGTAATATCAAAAAAAGAGACAGCCAGATAATAGGTGTCTTCTGATAGAACATACCACTACCAATGAAGTAGTTTTGCATTAAAAAAAAGAAAGCTAAAATTAAACTTCTAAATCCAACTGCTAATACAAAGGCAGAACAGAGTGGAAGGATACATTGAATGACACCATGAGAATATGGTCAACAAAATTCATGTCTGTTGGAAATACTAGACCAAATTATCCAGCCTCTTTGATAACTAATTAACAAGAAAAAGAATTAGAGATGGAGGAGGAACCTGTAGATGAAAAGACTTGATATTTGATTTTAAGAAATTTTTAATATTTTGGTGAAATAATGATTTTGTGGTTATATTTCTAAGTCCATATTTTTTAGAGATACTTATGAAATGTTTATAGAGGAAACAATAGAATGTCTTTGATTTCTTCAGCATAATAGAAGGCAAGGACAGATGGATGAGTTGTATAGATATGAAACAAGATTGACCATGAATAGATAACTGATACAGCAGAGTGAGTCATTCTTCATGCTGGCTATATTTGTATATCTCTAAAGTTTTTCATGATGAAAGGTTAAAAGAAGTCACTCTGGAAAGTAGGCTGTAGGGGAAAGAGGGGAAATAGTTAGAAGGGGCTGCTATGGCCAGCCAGGGAAAAGGCATGGGTAGCTTACACTAGGTACTCTTGGCAGAAATTAGGAAAAGAGTTTGGTTTTTGGATTTAGAAATAACGTAGATCCAACAGGACTTGATGGATTGAACAGGGGATAGGAAGGAAAGAGAAGAAAAAAAAGATGACAGGTGAATGCAGTTCTACATTCCAGTGATAAGTTCATGGGCTGGAGATTTCCTTCCTTTCCAAAAAGCATAATGACCTATTTGCTCTCTACAGAATACCCAAGCAAACAAGGAGCTGATTCGATGTGTCATCCTTTCTCGGATTATTTTTGGGGAAGATCACTGGAAATGTGCACAGGCTTTGGCCAGCCTAGCTTATGGCTACCTGACATTGAGAGGTACTTGGTTTCCCCAGCTGGGTCTGGGTGGCCAGGTTCTGAAGGCTGAACTGAACCCATATAACCTCTGTGAGGGTGGGGATGATTGGGAGGGTCCCTTCCTGTCCCTAGTTCACACTTCCTCAGGAGAAGAGAGAGACCATGGATGAGGCAGACAGTGTGGCAAGGATCTCAATAAGAAAGATAATAATGATGGTGATAATAATTATTAAGTATTTAATGTGTGCCAACCTAGTCTCATTTAGTCCTCATAATATCCCTGGAAGAGAGATACTATTACTGTCCTCAGTTTATGGATGAGGACACAAGCACAGTGGACAAAGGACAATTTCAGGCATTCCAGCCACAGGTCAATAGGAGAAGAATTGGAAGGAATATTCATTCAGTCAGCATTAAGGAGGCAGACCCTCTTACAGGACTTGAATTCTAGGGATGGAACTCAGGTTCCTGGAAGGTCTGGCTTAGTGAAGGCAGGGTCCTCATCCTAGAGAAATGGTGCTTTTGGGCGGTACCATAGGAGAATAAGGTAGGAATCTATTTGCTAAAACTGGAACCCAAATGAAAATTCCATGAGGGTAGAAACTTGTAGTAGAGGCTTAATATTTGTTGACAGATGGAGAGGCAAGAGCACATTTCTGAAACCAGGGGCATAGCCAACTCCAGTTCCTCTGTTCCTTGACCAGCCATGTCCCCCATGTGGACTATATACATTTCTACTGTGGAACTCATTGCACTGTACTCATATATGCTTTGTTTAAACACTGTTGCCTCTGAAATAGAAGCTCCCTAAGGGCATGGACTAGGCCTAATTGGATCTAGTACCATTCTTTGTATACAATATGGATCAGCACATTACTCCTTGTTAGAACTGAGCCCCTGGCCCAGAGGACCTCAGCCTCAAGTGAGGCCTAATTTACAATACAAATTAAGGGCTTTATGGCTTAAGTGATTTGAAGGCTACAGAGTAAGGGAGCAATACACCTGGGCCATATAATATAATAAAACAGAACTGTTGGAAAAGTTAAAATCAAACTCATTTCTCAGTTATTAATTTCAGAAAGTGTTCTCCTTCTTAGGGCTCCATAGGCCCTTTTACACTCATTTTTTTTTTTTAAGACCAGTCAAGTACAGTAGTGAAAAGGGGAGAGAGTATAGAATAAAGAGTTTGATCTGTAACTGACTGTGAATAGTCAATTGCAATAACTCACTACCTTCAGACCAGCCTCACTTGTTTTTAATGTAACGGTCATTCATTAATATGGCAAGATCATGAGTTGTTGACATCACGGCATTAGGACAGTTATGCTGTGAGTCACAGTAAGGCCCTTTTAGGCCTTAAGGACACATCTGTTCTGTTCTGAAAGAAGGCTGCCGTGGCTAAGGAGAGGAGGGAGTTACTGGCAGAGCAAGCAGCCACATCTGTGAGGTTTGAGGGCCAATCCTGGGAAGGATTGGACCCTAATGGGCTTCCATTCTTCTTTACTTGGAATTTCTCTATTCCAGTGAGACTACTTTCCTCAAAAACTTACTGCCTTCATGATAGGAGTCAAATTTAGGGATTTGCTACCTCAACACTCAGACCTTTTGCCATAAGCCTGGTGACACTGTGCTAGGTGCTAAGGATATGTAAATGAACAGCAGTGGTCCCTGTGCTCTGAGCACATACAGGGGTCTTATGATAGACACCATATACATGGTAGGAATAAAGTTCTGGGGAACATAGATGAGGCAGTTCAGTGGTTTTGCCATTGAGGAAGGTTAGGCAAGGCTGCAGAAAGAAGGAGATATTTGTCCTGTCTTTGAAGGATAAGTATAGGTTTACCAGGTAGATTTTGAGGGGAGTGGTAAAAAGTACAGAGTTGGTGCTTTTTATGTGTTGATCTAAGGCATGAAAGGTGACAGGAGGGCACCCTATATGAAATTCCACATGGAGAACATTGTAGATTTTCTCTAGACCCAAGGGGTTAGGGTAGAACAGAAGACACCTTAGGACAGATAAGTCATGCGTAGAAATGGTACTGAAAAGGCCTTTTGGATCCAGATATCAAGGAGTTTGAGAGTTATTAAAAATTTTGAAGTGAGGTAATAATCAAGCTTGTGTTATAAAATGAGGAACTCTGGAGGATGGGTTGACTGGTAGAGAAATTAGAGGTGAAGACCAGTTAGGCCATTATCCTGCCCAGGTGAGAGTTGATGAAGGCATTGGCTATAGCAGTTGGAATGCAGAAGCGATAGCTTGAAATGTACAATTGGTGACATTTAGTGGCCAATTCAATATAGAGTGGGAAGGACAGGGAAGAGTTGAAGTTGAAGCAGGGATGGCCTAGACAATTTGCTAAAATAGAAAATTAAAAAGGAAGACCAAGTTGACAGAGAAAGAGGGAGGAAGCTACTGGATTTGGCTTCTGACAGGCTGGGTCACATCTATGTTGAAATGTTCAGTAGGCAACTGAAAAGTGGGTCTAGAGCAGGGGTCATCAAACTACGGCCCACGGGCCACATGCGGCCGGCCGAGGACATTTATCCTGCCCGCCGAGTGTTTTTGCCACAGCTGCCTGTCCTGCTTAGCAGCCGACTTGTCTCAGGCCCACAGTGTGCATGTGTGGAATGTGGGCTGCACTCTCCAACAGCCCTCCAATGGTCTGAGGGATAGTGAACTGGCCCCTTGTTTAAAAAGTTTGAGGAGCCCTGGTCTAGAGCTCAGGAAAGATGACAGTTTGGGAGAGAGAAGCCCATATGAGCAAGTAGAACCCATGGGAGTGCATTAGCTTGATCAGAAAAAATGTGTAGAAAGAAGAGAAGGAGACAGAGGGCAGAAGACTGGAAAACAAGAACATTAGGGTTGGGTCATGGAAGAGAGGCCAGCAAAGGAAATAGAAGAATAAGGAGGGGCCATGTCACAGAAGCCAAGGAAGGAGAGAGGGTTTCAAATAGAAGAGCACTGTGGTTGTAATGGTTTCAGATGATAAAGAGAAGTCAAATAAGGTAAAGGCTGAAGAGAGACTCATGGATTTGGCAATTGGTAGGCATTGATACTTGGTTTTGTAGGGACAAGTACGTTCCTTGAGCCGTGGGAAAGCCCAGATTCAGGAAGACTAGCTAAGAGACTTACTGGAATTCAGACTTGAGATAATGACAGCTTAAACTGGAGAGGAAGATGTTTGAGAAGATTTGTCTGAACCTAGGGCAAGGCCAGCTGCTGCCTTCTCTGGCTTGCATAGAAGATTACCATCATAGGTCTATGGAAGGAGGATGGCCTGCATTTTCTGAAATCAGCTTTTTCCATGACAGCTACAAACTGACTTTGAGTTTTACTTTTCCAATTAGATTTCAAGTTATGTCAATATAATTAAGTAGGTCATATTACAAAAGATGGTGATAACATCCTTTTCTACCTAATTACAGTTTTTCCTGCTGCATTAATAGAGAACCATGTTTAGGGTAATAAGTTGGAGGGCAAAAAGTTTTATTGTAAAGGAGATTTTTGGTTTGCTTTTTTCTAGATGGGAAAAACAGCTTCCTGGTTAAACAAAGTGCCCACATAGTAAAACAGCACCTAGACTTGAACCCAAACTTTGTGACACCCAGCCTAGAATGTCCTAGAATAGATTATGATTGTGACCTTTACTTGAGAATAGCCCAGTGCCTCTTATTTCAGTTGTAGTCCTACCCAGTTTCTTCACTTAAGCTTTTTTTTTTTAGTGTCTGGTCCAGGATATAACAAGTAAGGTTTTGAAAAATTGCAGACTTTTGAGAGAGATGAAGTGCTTGCTGAGCTCCACTTAGTTTTGTTATTGTTAATCCTGTAACTGCTTTAAAATGGACAGAATATATGAGCCGACCCTCTGTGTAGGCGGGATGTGTGTGTCTGTGTGTGTTCATGCCTCACTGCACATGTACATGTTTTATAGTCATCAGACCTGCTTTCCTCATTTCCCTCTGAGCCTTTTCCAGCACTGGGATATAAGGGTCAAGCCAAAAGCCTCATTTCTCTCAATAAACAATCTTTCAGTGAGTATTTAGTGAGAAACTTGTATATGTGAAATATATGAATAGCACTTTGGGAAATATAATGTACAGAAGCTCTCAAAGATCTTAGTGTGGAAGGTGAGCTACCTAGAGACATAGCTATGATAGAAGACACTATAAGGTAAATGCCATGTAATTGATTGAAGTAATGGGCTTTGGGAAGGTTGAGTGATTTCAGGCTATGATGTTAAGTGATAGATTCAGTGGGGAGGTGGCATTCAAGAGGGACTGTAAAAAATGAGTTGGGTTTGGGGAGGTAGAAGAAGGGGTGGGTATTTCTGATAAGGAGAATGGCATTGGCAAAGGCACGGGGAAGGAAAGTGCAATGTCTGTTGAGATAGCAGCAGTAAGCAGCCCTCTGTTTAGCACTGCTAAGATGAATTTCGAAAGGAGGGTGCACTGGGCAGGCCATGGTGTGGTTTTAAATACAGGCTAAGGAATTTGTAATTTATTTGGTAGGGAGGGAGCACTATGAAGATTTTCCAGCAGGATGATGAAAGTATTTAAGTGTACTTTTGGCAAAGTTAATCTAGCAATGATGGAATGGAAGCTATCTCAGTCATCTAGGTCCAAAACTAGGCTAGTGACAGAGGGGTTGGGTGAGAAGGTAAGGATACAAGAGTCAACAAAGGACACATACATTTATTGTTAAACCAGAAATCCTACTTTGGGAATCTTTCCTAAATACACACTTACAACATATGGATAAGATTATTCTTTGCAGCATTCTTTATGAGTAAAAGATTGGAAAAAACCAAGTAGCCATCCATAGGGAACTAGTACATACACACAGTGGGTTATATGCAGCTTTAAAAAAGAGCATGAGGAAACTCTGTATACTACTAGAAGAAGATCTCCTGGGGAAAAGAGAATGCACTATGCAATATAGTGTTGATAATATGCCTCTTTTTGTGTAAGAAAGAAGAGCAGAGAAATGAAAATGTATGCTCATATTTATATAAAACACTGAA